ATGTGGCACCGACCCACATTGGAAAAAAAAAATCGTGAGGAAAAACAATCGTCTATGAATTTACTGAATTTTTAAAATTTCTTTAAGTCAATTTTATATATTTTTATGACGAGAATGAAATGGTTTCACTCATTCTTGTGTAAAGAAAGTTGTTTACCAGGGTTCAGAATTTTTCATGTGTGCGCACTGAAATATTAACATTTATGTCGCACATAGAGAAAAGTAAACCTCTGTTCCGTCATGAGCAAGCTTTTCATAAAACTAACATCTGAAGTCCAGAGATGTATTTGCAAATTTCAAAGTCAAAATTATTTAACATGTTTTTTTTTTTTTGTATGACAAAGACTAATTACACTTATCTTAGTCATTTTCGTGACATATTTATGAATCAGATATCATTCAAAAAAGGTTTTCCAGAAAAAGTCAAGGCGGCATTCATATTTTTAGGCTATATTTATATCGGTGAGTATACCCTTAGTTTTTTCAGAAGCCAATTATTAGAAGTTTAAATAAAATATAAGACAAATAATGCTAGAAGGTGTGCCAAGGACACATACGTATCCGACGAGTTGCGTAGTCTTTTAAGGGATCTTCAGAAAACAATGAAATTTGAGAACAAATAATTCAGTAAATCTGGGCACTCGATGGCATATGACTCTCGAGGACACTTTTTATATGAAAATAAAACATAAGTATTCTCAACATTATGCCACTAAAGTATAGAAGGTTATGCCCTTGAACTAAATTCATGCGTTCGTGTACGCAGTTTACAAATAACTGAATTTCATTTTTATGATGTTGTTTCAATTACCATATGCACCTTATACAATAGAATATGTGCAGTATTTACATAGCTGTATACTGGGTGCTTAGTACTTAAAATATAGTCTATATACATGGATGCAATGCATTTATCGGGCTTGACAACACTTAACTACGCAATAGGGGTATTCTCCAAATCTTGCAAAGCCATTGCACGTAGCACGGATTGCATAGATTGCATAACTTGCAAACACACAACAACGAAATACATGGGAAACAGCATTTTCTATCGCTGCAAAATATGCAACGTCGAAACCCATGTATATATTATGCAAAATAGCATAGCAAGATAAATACGACCCTGTGCTAGTTGTTTTGTTGTTGGAATGCTATATATTTCTCTCATTCCTCTCATCTCGCTCACTTAATTTTTTTTGCTGTCTCTTGTTATTGTATTTGATATGTAATTTCGCTGCTTGCTACCCATGCATGCTTCCACTTTACAATGGGGTGCACTCGTACTCTTCGAAATTTGGAATAGTATTTTTGCATTTCATGCAATCCGTGCATCGTGCAAGACTTCGAGAATACCCCTATTGTGTTGGTTTTGTGCTTTCTTTGGAGAGTGCAACGCTTCTGTCCATTTTAACCAAATCACTAAGAATTTTTTGAAGATATAGAGCTTGTTTTGACGCTTCGGAATGGCCATTATTTGGCCTCTGTGCTAGAGAGAGCGACTGAACGCAGCTTAAGTGCTGCCCGGCTGGTTGTTTCTCCGGCCAATATATATATATATTAGGGTGGTCCTACGGTTGCCAGACGTAATGATTTTATCAGTACAGTACTGATTTTTCAACTCTTGTACTGATTTTATTCATTCCTTCAATCAGTGCGCTTATGTCCTGATTTTTCAAATTTAGTACTGATTTGTACTGAATTTTCAATTCAAACAAAATACTTTAGGATTTTCTTAAGGTTTTTACATAACTTTAGAACTACCTTAAACTGTACTGTAAAATGTAAGAAGAAAATAATTTAATTATAGTTGACATGTTTCAGATAATGTTTGATATGCACATAAAAATAAAAACAACAAAAAGATCAATCATTTTACGAGCATATCGCCGGGTTGTTACATACCAGTTGCGATAACATGATGGAGCTTAAATTATTTAAAAAGAAGGCTGACATTTTTTGTCGTGTGTTGTTAGTTATCTCAAAAATACCTTTCGGTTTAATAACTTCAAATTTTCCTTTAACTTACAACTCTTTTTTCACAATTTACTGACATTGTAAAAGAGTTTTGCATACGAGGCATAGAGTTCGATACTCTTTCTAGCGAATTCTTAGTATTTCAAAGTTTTTGCGTAGTTGAAAAAAGTAATAATTTAAGCCATTAGGAAATATAGATGCATTCCTTAAATAGTGGTACTTTTCCACAGTTTGAAAAAATATGTAGTTTGCTTCTTGGCGAAAAGAGATAAATCGGCTTCTAATTAAAATTGTTTAAAGTGAGCTTCAAATTAAAAGTAATTTTAAAATGAAATGTATTGAATTTTTTTACTATTTAAACGCTGATAATGGAAATGATCTCATTATTACTATTAAAAAATTTCATAAATATAAAATAATTTATTGGCTTCTTTGTTCAATGATGTATACTTTCATGTTAAAATGAATAAAATTTTTTTTTTTTATGAACTATATTTTATTTACTATATACCAAAATATTGTTAAAAACAAGTTCTCTGGCGTTTTAAAGTATTATCTGTTACTTACATTCATAATTTTGCTTTATAAAAATGTAGATTTTTTTAGCAGGAAAAAGTCGAACGTACTGATTTTGCGCATAAAAAATCTGCCAACCCTTGGTGGTCCTTAAAATCAAATGAACGATTTTTTTCAGTCTCACCCGCTCAATCGGTAACACCACGGTCACAGATATCACATATAAATTTGGGTCCTGATTGGAGACGGTTAAGGCGTGTCGCAGAGGGGCCAAAGTTCAGATTCCTCTGTAGATACTAAAAAACTAAAAATTAAGTTTTTTTTTCATCTAATACCCAAAATCGGTTCTACCGTAGTCCAAGATATCACATATAAATTTTGGTCCCGATTGGAGTCAGTTAAGGCATGTCGAAATGGAGACTCACAAAATTAAAAATATTTGTTCCATTTAATACCCAAAATCGATACTACTAAAACCGAAAGTATCCCATATAAATTTTGGTCCCGATCGGAGTCGGTTCAGACGTCTTCATAGGGTAATCTGGGCCTTAACCGACTCAAATCGGGGCCAAAATTTATATTTGTGATTTCTTCGACTATAGTAGTATCGATTTTGCGTAATAGATGAAATGAAAGTTAATAAATAAAAATTGCTTTAAGGACCACCCTAATATATATGTATGTAGGAAGAGCCGATTGCAGTTGCTTATCGCTCATACTTACTTCGCACTCAAACAATTTTTCTTCATGATTAAATTGTAGTCAATAGACATCACCATTTTCAACCATACCTATTACGTCTCTTTCATCCAAATTCCCCATACCGAAGTGCCACAAATCTATGTAGTTCTTAGTGTCAGGTAAGAATGCTTTATCATCTTCAGGATATTCCATGAAGTATAAATTTCCACTTCGTTCAGCAGTAAGCAACACAGTTTTATCCCTATATATTACTATAGCACCGTTTTGGCGAAAATGCACTTCCTATACCTTATCAGTTATTCTCAATTAGAGATGGGCACGGGCCTAAAATTTCAGGCCCGGCCCGGCACGAGTTCAAAATCAACTTTCAAAAACACGCACAAGCCCGCACGTTAAGAATTTTAGTGGGGCCCGGCCCGGCCCGTCACGACGGGACACGCCCCAGCCCGGAAATAAAGAGCCAACTTTTATTGTATGTATACATATGTACAGATTTTTAATTTTGTGTTTATGTCCATATGTATATTTACTTAAGCGAATCAATATTTTACTTCAAAGATTTTTATAATATATTTTCTGGGAAGATATTTTATGTACAGATATGTATGTAAACAAAACTACTAACTTCATATATTTTCTATCGGTTTCCAAATATTCCTTTTTTTGCTTTTCTCTTATCAAAAGAGTTTTAAATATGTACTATTTTTTTGTATAAAAACAAAAGCTCATCTAAGTTTTTAGTATTTGCAACGGGCTTTTTCGTGCCTTTTCGTGCTTTTATGAAATTTGACTGAACGCCCAGGCCCGCACGAGTTCGTGCTGAAAGCAAATATTTCAGCCCGTACCCGCGGGCTTACGCCAAAAGCCCGGCCCGTGCCTATCTCTATTCTCAATACCGATAGTTAATTTTTTTTACTAATACTTCACCGATACCGTCTATGATTGTTTCCGTTTGCCATATTTTGCACCGCTGTGGCTATGGTTAGCGGGGCGTACTACTACCCCGTAGGACTTGGGATCGATCTCTGGTCGCCTCTCGGCTGGAAATGGCTCCGAGTGTATTTCTGCCATGAAACAGCTTCTCATAAAATCCATTTGCCGTTAAGAGGGGGCGTAAGACTGTGGTCGAAAGTGTAAGCGCCAAAATATTATTATTATATGCACAAAAATGCGAAAATGTGATGCAAATTGGCAAAGGCGAGCGATTGACGTAGAAATCGGGCATAAAATAAAAAAGTTATAGAAGAAAACCCATTTAGCCGTTTTTCAGGATGCCTGAAATACCCTCGTAGTGAGTGTTCAAAATCGCTTGCAACAGATTGCACTTATTTTTGGCCTATGCGGTCTAATATACACACATATATTAATGCTTACATACTTCTTTATCATTATTGGTAGATTTATTTAACGATTTGGTTTTGACTCACATATGTAGTTTCTGTATACCCATTCATACATTTAAATTATTTAATTAATTTTAAGTGCATACAAATTTGACATTCATACACACATTTGCATTAATTAAATATTTGCAAAAATCATGTATGGTAGTTGATATGTTGTGTAGATTTTTAGTTTTAGTTCCACGGTATATTGACATTTTAATGCATTGTTTTCACTCATATTTTATAAATATTTCTAAATTTTAATACAAGTATTTAAAAATGCTCCATTTGACCCTCTATGCGTTTGTTTATATTAATATTATTTCATTAATATACACTCGTTTTGCATCAATAATTTGTGTGCGTGTGTGTCTACTCCATCCTCTCTGTGTTCGTGAATCAATGGAATTATGGAATCTACAGCGTCGAAGAACATCGATTGATGTACGTCGTCCTAGCGTGCAGGATCTTGAAGACTTGATAAATAAGCCTTCGACACCGTTACGTGAAATCGGCGATGGAGGTCCCCCGCAAATTGTTGACGTACAGGAATCTTATTCAGCAGTCGAAGGTAACTTTATTGAATTTATTTATTACGGATCTCACATACCTTGTACATACATAAATAAGTACATATAAGCCATACATGCACTTATGAGAATTAGTTTAATTTACAGTAACATGCGCCGACGTAAACTTAAGAACTTCATGCTACCAAAACGCTGAGAGCCGAGTGTTATAAATTTTTTACGCCTGGAGTTTTTCAACAATTTTCGATATAAACTGAAAAACAAATAACACATTTTTTTGACATTCTTATCATTATACACAATACCATTGGTAGACTGTTATGAAGGTCCTAAGCACTAATTATAGCTCGCAATTGATAACGAACAAACATATCTCTTCGAAAGGCTTTTAGTACTGCTCTCTTCTGCGGTCTGTATGACAGGTAGAGTATGCGGTTATCCTGAAAACTCTGGTTCACTAAAACTTTTGATATCTCTCTAAGTTACAAACTACGGCGCAAGATTTGTAATATCTTTTAATTGAACCGATCCATAAATAATGCGATTTAGATACTAACGCTTGTCAAAAAGTGTTCTACTCGCCCCGTCTTCTCAAATAGGATTTTTGTGTGTCTTTCGCAAGCAGTCACCTATCCCACAAGTCGTCTGCTGGATCTTCTGCTAAACGAATTTTTATACCCGAGCGCACTTGCGCACAACGGTTGTTTGTAACAGCCAAAACGAATCGAGATATGTATAGACAAATGCATACATAAATGATCAGAATGAAAAGAGAAATCGATTAAGCGGTGACTGTCTGTCCGTCCGTCCGTCCGTCTTTGCACACGATAACTCGAGTAACAATTGAGATATCTTAACGAAACTTTGTGCGTACACTTCTTTCGGGCATAGGACGGATGGTATTGAAAATGGGCAAAATCGGACAATTAAATAATTTTCAGAAATACGAGAACTGCGATATTTTAGTAACTACTTAAGATTATTCACTCAAAATTGATATTTACAATAACTTTTAGACGAAAAATAAGAATGTTATACATTTTTGGAAAATGGGCGTAGCCACGCCCACTTATGGTTACATGTGTATATCTTGGTAACTGCTGCACCAATTTCTTCCACACTTGGCACAGCTGTTAGCCTGGTACAACATACCAAATGGCCGACAATTTTTAAAATCGGACAATAACCACGCCCACATCCCATACAACGGTAATTTGGAGAAATACGAAATCTTCGATAAATCAGTAGGTATTAAAGCTCATTTATTCAAGGTTGATGCTTGCAACAATTCTTTACCAAGAAATACGGTTATGATACAATTTTGGAAAATGGGCGTGGCACCGCCCACTTATGATCACATATATACATCTCGGTAACCGTTCTGCCAATTTGAGCCAAACTCGGTATGGTTAAGGTGTTTGTCACACGAAAGCAAACGATTGAAAATTATTGAAATCGGACTAAAATTGAGGCCGATGTTCATATAATGGTAAATTTCAAAAATACTTTAAACTTCAATATTTCGAAATTTAAGGACGCTAATTTACTCAAAATTGATGCACCCCGGCTTACCATGTAGCGGTAGCTTTCGGAAAGGTGAAAATCATATATTTAATACTTGCGCCGGGTATTTAATGTTCGGCTCCGCCCGAACTTAGACTTTCTTACTTGTTAATGATGTATTTGGCTGCTGAAGAAAAAGTAACATTACCGGACACATTTTTTAAGTAGTTAGGCAAACAGAGAATTAATAGCTGAGTTCAGAAATAAACTGACTAGCAAGGTGACAAGCGCTGAGAAAATATGTTGCATGCCCCAAGCGCGTTAACCAACTAAAAAAAACTCAAGGTGTGCGCACCTGCATTTATGTACTCTGTTTAATCCATCAACTTCCGCTGATCATCTCTTAGTTCGGCTATAAGCGCTCAATATAAACGAGACCTTAAGCTAAGCGCTTAGTGGAGCGGCGAGCAAAGCGACGATTACAAACGTATTTGTTTCAATGGGAGCGCAGATAGTGAAGAGCAAAGCGTACATTTTGTAATTGACGCTTTGCTCGATGTTATGCTCCACTATGCGTTTAGCCTTAGACACCCCACCAATTGTTCGTCACTTCAGGCATTGAATTCCAACTTTTCACGTACACTGCGTGACTCATCCCATGTTCTTAAGGGTTGCTTATGACTCCGCTTCTAACCCAGATGCATATTCCATTAACCTCGTCAAACATGGATTCTAGATACTTTGAATTAGTCAGATCCTTTGCAGGTAAGATACTACAATGTGTATGTCCAAGCTCAGTGTTTAGTCTGTTTTCAGCTCTTAGGTATTGGTAGGTATTCAAAAATTGTTCTTAAGCAAGCTGTCGGTTTTACAAGTATATGTATGTACAATATAAATGCATTCATATGTATGTGTGGTTTTACTCGTTATAAGTTCTTTAATATTTCAAATGTACACCCAATGTTCTATATGTTTATTCATGTTTTTATTACTTGTATGTACACTTTTAATAACAATGTGCAGACTCTACGGCTTATATGACTGTTGGCGTTGAAGGCAACCCAGCGCCGACATTTAGATTCTATAAAGGCGTCAGCGAAATCATCGAAGGTGGCCGGTTCAAATTCCTTACTGATGGCCAAACAAATTCAATTACGCTTTGTATGCGTAAATGTAAGCCCAATGATGAGGGCAAATACAAAGTCGTTGTCTCAAATATACACGGTGAAGACTCAGCCGAAATGCAGTTGTATGTTTCGGATTCAAGTGGCATGGATTTCCGTGCTATGCTCAAAAAAACGTCGTTATCAAAAATGGGACAAAGAAGAAGAGGACCCCAATTGGGGCGAATTGAAACAAACAGAAAAGCCATTGCCAACACTCAAGAAAGTTGAGAGGGTAAGGAAATGTTCACGGTACATGCGACGACTGCAAATTAATTGTACAAATTTACTAAAAAAAAATGTTCCCTAGACTAACAAAGTACTAACCCACTTTAGCGTAATGTATGTTTAGCACTTAGTGTATTTAGACGTATTTATTTGATTTCAAAAATATCGTTATTATAACTCTAATGAAGTGCTTAGAATTACATTTGGCCTCCTGAAAATGAAATTTTATTTCTGAAAAAAAAAATTTGGGGAAACAATAGAACTTAAGGCAATGTTCCATTTTTCTATACTTCATCCAAACCATGATTTAACGGATTTTTACCTTGGTAACATTCCGAAGCTCCGTGACGCATAAACAAAAAGGAGTTGACAACTATAAGCACGAAAAACCAGCGGGTGGTTCGTCCGCACTGTCGACTTCGTTTCGGTATTTCTAATTATTATATAAGTGGCCGCGAGCTGAGCTTTTGGTAGGATCGTATCGGTTCTGTTCGCACACATTTAGAATACCATATTTTATTCGCCAGTACAAAAATTTTTTCTGATAAGAAAATCGTTGGCAGGTTGTCGTTGGGTCATATAACGGTCAGTCTTATTACGGGAACAAAGATTTGTTTGTAATATGGAGAAAAGTGCATTTAATTTACCCAAGTAGCAAAGAATTAGATTTCTGTAGGTGAATAAAATGTATTTACATGTAAAATAAGTATTTGCAATAACTCTCTGTTTTTACCGACACCCAGACACCGTTGCATACCAACATACATATATATGTACATAAGACATGTGTACTCCTATTATGTATGCGAGAAATGTATGTATAGAGTAATATTGCTTCTTTACTTATATACATATGGTACATTTATATAAACCAAATATAATACAAACATATAAACAATACATACATACTTATATATAAATATATTCCAATGCTACATAGAATGTTAACTACATCTAAAATTTTGCATATATGTTCTATTTTCTACAACAAAAAATGTGTGCATACAGATGTTTCCACGTAGACCATCCTTAGCCGAATTGATTCCCGATTGGCCAACATTACATCCATTTCGTCGCGAGGAGGTTCGACTACTGGCACCAGCCCTATCTCTATTTGGCTATTATGAAGATTTTTTTACGTTCCTTGCCAAGCAATTGACACTCGATCTGAGTATTCCTTATCGCTCGATGTTGTCTAATTGAACTGTTTTTCTATCTCACATTTCCAAATCAAAAATAATATGTAATAGTATGATTAATAGTAATATTAATTATAATTCAACACAAAGAACCGTTTAAATTCTACATAAACATATATGTATGTGTGTATCTACTTATAATACTTAATAATAATTAAAAACAAAAGTTTTTTACATTTTGATGCTTACGCATTTAGACTTTTCAGCATTATAAAGGACAAGACGAGCTGCAGTGCATCATATGTCCACATTTTACGATCAGTAATGTTTTTGTACAAACTTACTTCACCGCGCTATCTATCTTTCTCTCCTATTTAACTCTCTCGCTCTCTTAACTTCTTCAAAGCTGATTTTGCAGGATTTTGACTCAACGCTTCTTGAATTACGGAAGCTAGAATTTTTCTTTGCTCTACTGTTTTGAAAAAAATATCGTCTCGAGCAAATAGCTATATTTTTTAGAGTGTCAGTTAACTACACCAAGCATTTTCTCTCTGTTTGTGGATGTTGTGATAATAATTTTTGAAAGTTTTTCTCGATTGCTTTGTGAATTTTTGGATGTGCCTGCCAGGGTTGCGTGATTTAAGATCATTTTCGATTTTAAATCGCCTATTGATTACGAAATCTATTTGATTCATCAACCAAATCAAAAACAAATTTTATTTATGATATCATGAAATTAAATTTATGTGTGACTTGATTCGTTTGACAACTAAACTATTTTTATTTTCTCGAAAATCGTGCTTTCTTTACATAAAAAGCATTAGAAAATCACGAATAAAATTGATTTTTTGGACAAATCAAATCACAAATAAATTTTACTTTTTATTTGTCCAACAAGTCAAATCACTTATAAATGTTATTCATGATTGTATCCGTCGATTAAATTACAAATTTATATTATTTAAGGTTTAATACGCATTTCAATTCATAAATTTATTTATTTTTTGGATTTGGGATTTGACTAATTAAAAATCACGCAATCCTGGTGTGTGCCCTGCAGTATATATTGGTGCAGTTCCGAAAAGCTCAAAATAGCGCAAAACGCAGTAGTTCTCTGTATGTTCCATTCAACGAGACTCGAATACATGCATATGAAATCCCACATTTGCGAAATTGTTTTGTTTTATCAGAGCAGATCAATACTTATTTGAATTAGCCATTCCTCTAAGATTGGCGGTCTTCTTCAACTCATTACCGTAAAGCATCATATGGGATATTACTATATGTCATAATTTAGGAATAAAAGAGACTGGTACTTTGCATTAACGCATTTAAGAAGATAGCCTTTTACATATGTACATATGTATTTATGGTAATGCTTGCATGAGAGTCCATATATATGTATATGTACATATGTATTTTTATGTTTTCCAAAATGTGATCAAAATACCAGCACCATTGCTATATACATAAAATTACATAGTTGAAATATTTCGATGGTGATTTACCTTTAACTAGCGCTGGCCCAAAACAGCTACATCGGCTCCTGTTGGTAAGCTGTTCAATTTGCTGCAGGGTGCGTATGTCATCCCGAAAATCAGGCACTTGTGGCAGCAGCTGAGCTTATGAAAAAGAGTTTTTTTTTTACATTTTGAGACAACACAAAACATGCTACATACATACATAATTAGTTCAAGCTCTTAAATAGATGCATATATGTATGTATTTTCTTATGGGGGAATATTTTTAAAATTTCCCCAATAAATCACTTACACACATTCGTGCTATATTTATATGTACCAACATATTGTCGTATATAAGTTTTTATGAGTACATACATAAATAGTAGTATTTATTACAGTCTAAGCTACGGATGGCAGCTAGTAAAAAATTGAAAAGAAAAAGATTTTATGAATGAACCATATAAATTTATGGAATTTTCCTTTCAATTACAAACAATTAATCGATTATATTTCAGAAAACCAATTGGCTCAATTTTAACTCCCACTTGCGGATTTAAGTGGATTTTTATTCAATTATTGGCAAAATGTGGAAGATTTGCAGCCTGCCGTCTCACTTTTTCTTTACGAAATAATGGAACCGGCATATATTTCTGTTGAAAACAAGGGTGCCTTGTACTCTTCACATTTAGCAAACTATAGTAGGAAGCGTAGCAAATTTCTTAAGAAATTCATACTGCTTAAGAAAATTTGGCTCAATAAATTTTTCTTTACCATTTCCTAGGCTTTTTTTTAATCCGTCCAACTAAAGAAATGTTTAAAAACAACAAAACAAAACAACATAAAAAAAAATTGGTTTTTATTAATCCGTAACTTCAATTGCATTTCTGCTTGGATACAAAAATTTAAAATCAATTATTCATCTCTAAGGGAAGGCTTTGGTGTTATTGAAGAAATTAAAATAATTTATCTCAAATGGAGAGTAACAATTATTAAAAAATAAATAAAACGACAAGCGCAGATCTCCATTATTTGAGAATTTCAAGCAACACTTGTATGTCAATTGTAATTCTCCAATCCTTGAAATAAACTGAATAAAAAACAAAACATTAAACTGTACTTAATTTTTGTTGTTTTGCGAACATATTTGCAAGCATGTTTACCAATGTTTTAGTGCTTATCTAAGCGCTTAAAATTGATTTTTTCGTGCTTATTTTCTTCGACCCCTGGTTATAGCCGTTGCGGCTCCATGCTTTTGGTTTGCCAAAATTGCTTTTAACAAATTCGTCGATTAATCGATCTTTTTATACAATAAAATAATGTGTTCGATTTCGTTTGATAAGGTTAAATTTAATTTTTGCCATCCCTAGCCTAATGCTTGAACCACCAGCATTTTTCGATTCCGGCAAGTATATACTACAGTGTTTTCATATGAGATAATTATTTTTTGATTAAGCTTAGCATTGGCAATAATTACACAGTGCTTGAATAGAAGACATGTTTTCCCAACACAACGGGACACCCAGCGGGTAAACCTAATTCGTGTATGCTGAATATAATGGTACTAATCGTTTTTCTAGGCTAGATCTCGTTTATGAGATATCTGAGATTCAATTTTATATCTTTTAAAAAGTTATTTCATAAATTTTTTCAATTTGTATAGATAGAAGTCAAAAGTGGTATAACCAAATATACATACATATTTAGAACGAAACCATTTGAAATTAAATTAAATTGTTGTAGCAAATTGTATAGCGATTTCAACAAAATTGCAATATTTTTATGGATTCGTTGATAGAAAGATCGTAACAACCATCTTTCACCGCACTAGGGATGGGTAAATTCGATATTCGAAGCTTCGAGATTCGAATTTTAATCGAACTTTAGCTCTAAAATTAAAAATCAAAATTTTTGAAATCAAACTTTGTGGTGCTAAAATTTGGATAAAATCGAATTTTTCTAGAAAAAATCGAATTTCGTCTTCATTTGCAAAAAATCAGCTCTGCAACTTTCTTCTTTCTGACAGAAATTGCATTAGGGCTGCAAGGCTATAAAATACATCGACGTTTTTTCGATCTGAGGCAACAAAATATCGATGTATCCTGTATAAAAGTCGATATTTTTGATGCAGCGAATGAGTTAAAAATATACAAGAAAATGGAATAATTGGAACTTCGATAAATGTGGTGATGTGCAATAATGTCAATGACATTAATATTCACTTTTCAATTGTGTATTAATGTCAGGGGCATTAATTCGATTGGCATTAATGCAAGTCATCATAAATGTTTAAGTATTTACTCACAGTGAAATGTATTTATAGTTACACATCCCAGCTATACAAATAAATTCATAAAACATAAATAATATTTCAGATGCTTTATGATCTTAAAACTTTATCTAATGTCTGGTTTTCATTATGTCGAAATAACTGACATCAAAAACTGCTTTAACTAACAGCTGTTCACTTGGTGTCAAATACATCATAAAAACTGACCAAATGTAGATATCGCAGTGCATGTCAAAAGCTGTCGTCAAATTTTTTGTGGCAGGTGATTGACATTCCATTTTCCAACACTGATGTCAAATGTGAATTGAAATTTTTGGCATGAGACAAAATTACCGGCCGTTTAGCAATGGACAAACCGAAAATGTGGCTGGATAGAACTCTTCATGCCCTATTATCTATTTTGTTAATTGTTTACTTAAAGATCTCGCTTTAAAAAGTAAAATCATACGTTGTCATTAAATGTAAGACTTTTTTAACAAACATACATACGTATGATTGCATATGTATATAACGTGAAGCATGCAATTTGTTTTTTTTTTTAAGCAAGAAAAATAAATGAAATCATGTTATACGCCCCAAAAATTAGTTTCAATATGCTACATTTACCAAATGTTTTGATTTTTTTTTAGATATTTTTTTGAAAAAAAAAATTATTTGTATTTATTTTTGGTTGTGAAGCAAAAAAGTGCGATATGGATAGTTAATCATATAAATATAAGTTCATCTGAATCTCTTTTTCGATTTGAGTTGTCATTCTTACAAACAAACTTTTAAATTTTCAGAAAATTCGAAAAAATTTGAACTAAATCGAATTTGCACCACCAAATTTCGAATCGAATAATCGAATGGTTGGGCAATGTTCGAAATTCGGAAAAAATAGAATTTCAACCCCCACTACCCACACCTGCACCGCACTTAAGATAAAGTAATAAAAAAACAATTAACACTATGAAAATGAAAAAAAGAACAAACACTGAATTCTCGACGCCAGTTACTTGGTTTATAAATACTTCTGGAACACAATTAGCTATTGAAAACAATTATATTTGTAAAAATTTACTGGCTAAACAGAATGTAGTACCAAAGCCACAAGCTATTTCGCTAGCTGCATCAGAAATAATACACCATAACCACAGCTACATATTGTGAGCAGTTTAGAGCATTTAGAATATTTTAACTTTTGACAGCTCTTGCTACATACCACAGCCTCATCATTCTGGTTAGGCAGTTACGTTTATGTAGTTTTCCGAGTAGTCAGTTGCTGTCGAATATAATCGAGCTACAGAGTTTTGACATTTGTGAATATTAAATACAGATAAATAAAAATAAAAATAAAAAAATGCTATACAATTTGCTACATTGTTTTAATTTCTTTTCGAATATATTATTTCCATGAACATTTGGCAATACAATGTTTATCCGATCGATCGCTATCGATTCAGATAAAAAAATAAATAGTAAAACATTGCCTTCTTAAGGATGGTTTTCACTATGCCAAATTCAGTGGCATTTGTCTTCAAATAAGTGAAAACACATTGTCAAATGGAACTAAGAAACTGTTTATCGATTAATTTAGAACAGAATAGGTGTTCAGTCGTGTATTGTGCTACTGAAGGTGTTCTTACACGATATGTATTTGCATGTGTACATGCCACTTTTTACATATGGAAATGCCAACATATCGTGTAAAGGCAATTTAGATTTGTTTCTGTACAAAGCAGATGCACGTACATACGAAAAAGAAATGTTTCTATTTTCATCTGACACACAGATAGAATCATCTGAGTTTGGTTTATTTTTTCAAAGAGCGTATTTCTAAATAGTTAAATAAAGACTGTGAATTTGGCAAACATACGCAATTACATATGTATTGAAAAAGTCACATTTGCAGATGCAAATACATATCGTGTAAGAACACCTTAAACGGTCTATCTGTCCGTTGTTGACCCATAAAATGATCGACATAGGTATAGGAAAAGGAGATAAAGTGACAAAATATGTTGTCAAAATATGACATAGTGAATTCGTTATAATTTACTTGTACTTTTCCGATATTCCTGTCAAGGCCCCTTCACACGATTGGCACACCTGTACAGATTCGTACGGTTTTTACTGCCGCCCCTTGGTACAAAATAAAACTTGGAATGAAACTTTAACTTTTAGCAATTACAAGAATGTCACGATTTTGGAAAAATTCCAAATCATGTGACATGGCTTTAGCTAATCAATAAAAAATTATCAATGCTTTCAATATTCGATTTCTATATATATATTTAGTAGTTATGTTTCTTAATAATATAAATTTAATTTTTTCATATACAACTTCTATTACTTAATTAAAATACTTAATTAATTATGAATTCTGACTAGCACTATACAATAATTTGTCTCATTGTTGTGCTAAAATGAAGTCTTCAAACAAACAAACAAAATATCTCGTAAACTAGAGCTAACCTAGAGAAACGAGTAAACCCATTACCATTCCCACGGCAGCCGGTTCTACGTACCGGAATGACTCGGGTTTTACCCGACCAAGGGCTGTTGTTTCGGCGATCTAACCCCGTTTAGGACAGCCCCTGTGAAAGTAGCACACTTCCTGGGCCTCCCCCTAGCTGAAATTGACGACAACGTTGATGGATGAACCGCCCCGAACGGGGCTTAGTAGCCGCTACAACAACAACAACAACAACAGTAAACCCATTACATTCAGAGTATTTGAATTAAGTAGGTTTATTCGCTGGGTGCCCCGTTTGATGGATTTTCAAACTAGCACCAGTGTTATTATAGCGTACGTATCTTTTAATTTATATTTATTTTTAATTTTTTTTTTGTTTTAAAATTTACATCTTTAGTTTTAGTATCGTAATTCTAAATATGCACAATGCATTTCACACGTTTGAAGCATTTCCTCAACAGATTTACTATTCACCACCAACGAGTTATGAACGTTGTGAGAAAATGTTTAGAAAGTTGTGAACGAAATTTAGAAATGCGATTTTGAATGGCTTATTGTAAATAATAGTGTGGATTTTTTGGAATTTGGTGTGTCAAACATAGAAGTATGTACATACTGCAAAAAATGTATGTTAATATATACATTACATATATACATACGTGGGAATCTATCTTTCTGCTGATCACTACCATCAAGTAGCTTCTGAATTTCGTGTAAGATGTTTTATATGTACATACATGCATATGTATGTAATTAGCTGTAAGTTATTTGTTTGCTTTGGTTTATGCTTAAATAGTTGCTTTGGCCTTTTTCCTACCACAAACGCTTAATTACTAAAAGACTTTCGCGTAAATTCGTTGACAAATTTTTGATTTATGAAGAGCATACCTTCATATATGTGCCACAAACTATTGAAACAGTTTTTTTTTCTAAGGTAGAGCATCTTTTTTAGTAAGTAATTATATACATACATTTGCATTTTTTTCCAAATTTGTCCCAACTGCATATATGTATTTGTAAATATATACACGTGTATTTCATAAAAATTATTTACCACATTTTGTAGCACATATATGTGAGTATGCACTTGCATATGCATACGTACAAGTGTTTTGAAAACTACATATATTCTGCTTATGCTCATAGAATAGCAGAATAAGTACGTATGTATTTTCAATTGATGTGCATACACTACCCCATACGAAGAAGTCAGTTGTAAAACGCGCGCCGGTATTTACATATTTTGCTAATTTTTGCGCGCCAATTTTGGAGTTGCCGCGCAACCCAAAACAAAAACAAACTAAAAAGATGTATGACAATTGAAAAAATAACTTTACGATATTATTTCTTTTCCCATTTTTGACAACGCAAACCCCTAATTCGTACCCAAAAAAAACACAAAAACAATCGACGCAATCAACAAATATTTCGAAAATGCTACGAAATCCGACGATAATAATTGGAAAACACATCAACGCCAATATCAATCACGACGCTGCTAATACAAATATTCAAAAATAATAATCAAAATTTTATATTAATAAAAAAATATATTATTATGAAAAATAAAATAAACAGAAACAAGAATCCTTCCTGAGTCCGCTAATCGACCAGTTCGCCAAGGAAGGCAAAGACAAGAAAGTCGTTTTTGAAGCTCGTTTCAGTAAACCAAATTGTAAGCCCAAATGGATGTTGCGCAAGGATGTAAGTATACATACATATGTATATATTATTTATTTTTGTCCATATCGCCTTTTTGCCCAAGCATTAACTCCAAATTTTCCTTTTGCTAGAAGAAACAAAGTAGCATGTTTCTCAGAACATGCTAATACTATTGAGAAAAAAAACTTTACAGTTGCTTTTTTACAGCAATTTGCAAGAAAAAAGTGCTTCAAGTTTTGCTGCAGGGTCATATATGAAGGCCGAACTTGTTTAGTTCACAATATCAGAAATTAAAAATTTTGAGTTTACCTCGTTTTGAAGAACGTGAGCTATAGATACACATATAATCAAATATCTAACTGAATAATCATATAATCGTAGAGAAGAACTTACATTTTCAGTTTGGAATCTTACTAGCGTGCAAGTTGATTGACATACGATAACGTAGGCATAATTCTAAGTACGACCCTTATTTATTATTGAATTTCACTGCTCCATTATTTCTTCTTCTTCATTTCTTGGTAGTAAGATATATACTGTGGAGGGAAAAATCAATTTTTCGATCAGGGCTAGCCAGAGGTATGAACAGGCGTAACGGGAGGGCACAATTTTTGAATATAAAATAAATAAAGAAATACTTAACAAATAACCACCATTAATTTCACAGAGGTCTTTTTGGGACCTTTTAATGTCGTCTACCAAAGTTTTAAAAATACTTTACGAAAAATAGGTAGATATATACAACGGTCTTTGGGACCAAAAATTAATTTTCTTACATTAAGATGCAAGACAATAGCTTTATTTACATACAAACAATTCTCAAAGCTGACAAGAAAGAACAAAAAATATACATTTTTTTCCGTGCGGAAAATTCGTAAACTTTTAGCGGCTCTACCTCTCAAACTACTAATGGCCCCGTCAGAATGGGTACTTTGCGTACGTTCCGCTCTAGAATGAAACTGACAATTGAGTAGACTGTGACTGCCATCCCTAAATTGGCGCGTCAAGCGTCAAGCAACTGTCAAAAATCCCCTTGTCCATACAATTTGTACGAAGCATCCCACAATAACGCGGCGCTAACGCCGAGCAAATGGAATTTTCATTTTTGACAGGGCGTTAGGTGTTGAAGTTGGATGTAGAAGATGGAAAGAAAGAGAAACGACAAGAAAGTGAAAGAGGAATCGAGAATAAAAACGAAAGGAAATGAGAAAACGTCAAAAATTACGCCGCATTGATTTGGGGATAGCGTGCGCTGACACTCGTTGATAATGGAAAACGCAACGCTTAGCGCTCCAATTTCGGGACGACAGTAAGTGTTTGCATGTAGAGCGCCAGATCGGCAATCCTTGCGTCGACGGAACAAATGAACGTTGGCCGATTCTCTGCTTTTGACGCAAGTAAATCCGGCAATGCTGACAGTTGACCTTGCGTTTACACAAGGCAAGCAAATTTTGAATATGTATTATTTGTAACATTTTTTTTAGTAAAGTAGACGTCCAGACAATAATCTTTCTTAGAAAAATCAACAGTGACAGTGAAGAAGACAATGAGAGAAATGTGAATATATTAGTAAAGAGGTATGAGTATATTGCTATTGTCTCCGCGAAATTTAATTAAAGTTAGCTGATTTTTGTTTACAAACGCAACACCTTCATTGTGGTTTCGCTCTACTTTCCGTACGCCACTTCCTTAGCATACTTTTCCAGTATTGACAAGTATCCATTCTGACAGCGCTATAATCCCTGTTTAATAAAATTCTTTATGAGATATGTATTACTTTAACGAACGCTTTTATGAAATTTTTGAGTTTCGCACAGTTTTTGCAGCAGGGGCCCCGTAGTGCGTCGTTAAAAGCGTTTTTATTTTATTTTAAATATATCCTTACTCAGTTCTCAGATACTCGTACACCCCCTAGCGAAATTTCAAACAAAATCTTAAAAAAACACGAGAAATATTGTCATCATTCTAATAGCCCTGAGAGTTAATTTAAATAGTAAGCAACGCGCGTACTCTGATTTGGTTTTTGCAAAACTAATTTTGAATTGAGTAGTCCGCGATACTACTTTTCCTCTCTCAATAAATGATTGACTAACATAAAGACATACACTGGATGAATAATGTTTCATTTTGAATATTTACAACGGTTTTCAACTAAACTTTTTTTGTCATTTTTTATAAAAATAAAGTGCATGCTTTAACCATAACCATTAGTTATATACCATAAGTTGTATAAGTTTCCACAATAAGTTTTTCATTAAAACCGGCCTCGAGCTCAATAAAAATTGTTGAATATAATTGTTATAAGGCCATACAAATAACAAAAACATATATATTTGGTTTTGGTTAAATCACGAACCATATTTTTATAAGAGAATAAAAAATTGGCTTCAAAAACATTGTAAATAATAAAAACAAAACACCATATATCCAGTTTTGACCACCAGTGTAATACTTAAAATGAAAAAAGAAATAAAGTTCCGTACGTCATGCGGATTGCGATAGGCGGGGGAGGGAAACCGTCCAGTCCATGGTTAAATGTTATGCTAACTACCTGACCGAATTCAAGCAATTACTGGAGCCAAAGGAACCTATCTTGAAATCGTCATAATTTATAGTATCTAACGTTCATAACAAGTCCTTGCGCTGCCTTCGGTTTTCTAGTCCGCTCTTGGAGTTTATGGCAACGAACTAGCATTTCAGTCCTCCCTCTTACATGCATACATACAAGCATCTGTGCAGGTTCGAACGCAGATAACATGCAACACAGACGATTTTTTAAGTCACTGAAGCACTAGGCTAGTTAGTGTTACACTATTGCCATTTTAGCTCAAAATTGGAAGACGCACAATGGTCGGAGAGGCCATATTTAACGCCAAAAAGAAATATTTGAAAACTGGAATAAATTAACTGGAATAAAAGACATGTCCAACGAACTCAAAACTGATTAGTATTTTCAATAATCCGTTGAAACCGCTTAGCAGTAGTTCCACATAATATAAAGTGCATTAAAACATTAAGGGTTAATGTAATTTGTTCTACATTGAGCTTCATATAATTTATAAAATATATCTTAGCCTACCTGAAGTTAATTTAAAAAAATTCAAAATAGCGAATCCAAGAGTTTAAAAAATCACTGAATAGCCCATTCAACTCTGTGGATTTGACGTAAAATTCGAAAAACAGATTTTCTTAATTTTAGAGAAATTAGCGGTTGATTTGACAGCTTTCAACTGTCAAACTATATATTTCATGGTATATTCGGATTTAGCATTACAAAAACAGCACGATCCTGTAGGTTTATTGTAATCGTAACAGCCCGTCTAATTTTTCGCATAAAACATGGCTTCCCCGACTACTGTGGGGCGATTGCATTTTAATTATTTGTTTTCAAATTTTATGATTTATGACCTAAACATATTAATGCTTACTAAAATTTACTATTCCACAAAAAGGAACTTTTCACTGGCAGCAAATGCAAGTTCAAAAAATGAAAATGACACTTACCAGTTGATTATCATGAATCCCAAAGTGGAGGATAGCGGCAAGTATACCATCGAAATAGGTGGTGTTTCCAGCACAGCGCTTTTGACCGTCGAAGAAGCAGATCCCAGCTATACATTTACCAAGCCGCTGAAGAAGAAGATAGAAGGATTTACGAAGCATGAAACGACGTTGGAATGCGCAGTTAGCAGCAGCATGGCCAATGTCACCTGGTTCAAGGATAATAAAAAAATCGAGTCTGATAATCCTCGTTATCTCATTTCGAAAGATATCAATGGCAATCTTAAGCTCATAATTAAGGAGTCCGTGCTTGAGGACACAGGCCAATATCGGTGCCAACTAGATAAACAGCCAGATAAGACTGAGTCGGCAGTAAAAATTGTCGAATACCCATACAAATTTATAAAAGTACTGAAATCCCTACAATGCATCGAAAAAGACAACATTACACTTTCTTGTGAGCTTGACGATGCTACCGGCGAGGTGCAATGGTGGCGGGGTGATGAAGAAATCAAAGGAGATAAACGCATGCAAATCGTCAAAGATGGCCGCAAGCGTAAGCTGATAATTAAAGACTGTAAAGTCAGTGATGCCGGCCTATTCAAATGTACTACGAATGCTGACAAAACCGAAGCGGAAATCATTATCAACTGTAAGTAGAAAAATAACATTTACATACATACATACCAGAGTTGTAAAAATGCATTAATTTTGTAATGCATAGCATTTTAATGTTAATGTAAAAAATTAATGCAATAATTTTTGAAATTTAATGTAAATGAAAATTGCAATGCCTTAATTCCGAAGAAATAATGCTAATGATTTATTTTTGATCATTTTTGAATGAATGCTATTGCAATAATTTATTGCAGTATAACAAACATTAAAAACCCATTAACTAATTTTATTTTGAAGTAAAAATTCTTTGTTGACGTTGAGGGTAGAATTTTGGGGTCAAAAAAGATAGTGACGGGAGTTAAGGCTGGTTTTCTCTTTTTCAAATTCAGTGGCATTTGTAAAACACATTGTCAAATGGAATTAAAAAAACGGTTAAGTGATTGATTTAGATCAGAATAGGTCGTGTACATGTGCTGCTAAATTGGTAATCTTTTCGTTTCTGGCCCATAATATAATCGTCATAATTTTTATGTTACATATAGATCAAAATCGGTTTAATAAAAAACTCAAGGACACCGATGCTGTGGAGCGCGAAAAACTGGTGCTCGACGTCGAATTGCAGGATCAAACGGCACCTTGTGAATGGAAAATAAATGGTAACCCTATTGAACCCAACGAACGCATTGAAATCAAAAATCTTGGTGGTGGCAAGCACCAGTTGATTTTCAATAACCTGGAGCTCACCGATGAAGGTGAAATTACGTGTGAATCTGGAAAATTGTCGTCTACGTGCAAGCTTACGGTACGAAAGGGCGAAAGCCGACCAAATATTGACTGTCCAGATGAGTTCGCTGGTCCAATAAGTGCGCCTGTTATACTAGAAGTGCCATACAAAGGTAATTTCGAACTGCTTTCACTTCCAAATACCAAATGTTTATCTATATACATACATATATAAATACTTGTGCTGCTAACGCATTCTATAACATGTGCTATATGTACATGTTTTCTAGACATTTAGGCGGCAGTTGAATTGTTTCAACCCTTTTGCAGTTACTTTATTTTTACTTTTTATTTCTTTGTTTTTGTTACTTTAGTCAACGGTACACGACAAACTCCCGTAGAAGCTAAGCTAATCAAGGATGGAAAGCCTTTGCCTGTAAAGGAAGTCGAAGTAGGTGTTACTGAAGACAAAATCACGTTTAAAGTTAAGAAACCGGCCCGAGAAATGTCTGGAGCTTACGAAATTAAACTATCCAATGGTCAAGGTGAAGATGTGAAGAAGGTAAATGTTATCTTCCAAGACGTGCCACAGCCACCACAAAATGTCGATGTTGTGGAAGTTTTCCAAACATCATGCAAGGTAACTTTTGAGAAACCAGGCGACGATGGTGGTTCACCTATCATCAAGTATATAGTCGAACGCCAAGACTTGAGCAAGAAGCAAAGCTGGGAGGTTGTCGCTGAGGTTACGCCACTACCGCAACTCTTTAAGAAAATTGAGGACCTTACGCCAAAGAAGCAGTACAGATTCCGTATACGTGCTGTGAATAAAATTGGTCCATCCGAGCCTGCTGCTTTCAAGAACATCGTGTTAGCCAAAGATCCATGGGATGAACCCGGAAAGCCGAAGAATGTCGATCTTGCCGATTGGGATAGAGATCATGCTGATCTGAAATGGGATGCCCCAGACAGTGATGGTGGCGACCCGATATCTGCTTACATAATTGAATATAAGGAGAAATTCTCCAACGATTGGGTAGCAGGCAAAGAGGTTCCCGGCGATGCGCGTGCGGGTACAGTTGATGGACTAAAAGAGGGGCAACAGTATGAATTCCGAGTCCGTGCTGTTAACAAGGCTGGTCCAGGTGAACCCAGTGACAAAACGAAGGCTATAATTGCTAAATGCCGCTTCGTCAAGCCGTTCATTGTTGGCGACGGTCTTAAGAATATAACGGTCAAAAAGGGCCAAACTGTGCGTTATGACATAAAATACGACGGTGAACCAGAACCGACAGCTAAATGGTGCAAAGGCACACAAGATTTGGTTTTCGACAACCAACGTATTTTCCTCGATCAAATGGAACGAAACTCATGTATAACTATTAAAAAGGCAATTAGAAAGGACACTAGTATCTACAAAATTGTTCTGTCCAACAGTTCTGGTACTATTGAGTCTGAAGCTCAGTTAACTGTATTGGATAGACCGCTTGCTCCAGGTGGCCCAATGGAGCCCGAAGAGGTACGCGCTGATCACATCAAAATGAAGTGGAAACGTCCACCAGATGACGGTGGCTGTGAAATAACTGGTTATGCATTGGAGAGAATGGATGAGGAGACAGGTCGTTGGGTACCGGCCGGAGAAGTCGGGCCAGACGAAACATGCTTCAACTTCAAAGGCCTTACACCAAACAAAAAGTATCAATTCCGTGTCAAGGCCATCAACAAAGAGGGCGAATCGGAACCACTGGAGACCACAGAGCCGATTCTTGCCAAGAATCCATACGATCCTCCAAGCCCACCCGGAAAACCTGAAATTGCTGATTACGACAATAAGAGCGTTTCGCTTAAATGGAAGCGTCCGCCATCCGATGGTGGTCGGCCCATAATAAATTACATCGTTGAAGTTAAAGACAAGTTTTCGCCAACCTGGAGCGAAATAGCCAAAACCGAAGGCCCTACGCCTGAGTGTTACGTTGATGGACTGAAGGAAAAAATGGTCTACCAGTTCAGGGTACGTGCTGTTAATAAAGCTGGCCCATCGGAACCATCCGAGCCTACTGACAATCATTTGTGCAAATACAAGAATCGTAAGTTATTTGATTTGTACACAGAAATATATAAAGATATCGACTAAAAAGCTTAGCTTACAATATTGTTCCAACCATTTTTTAGCTGAGATATGTCAAGAGTTTTCGCTTCACACATCGGTATAAACATAAGTACATATGTACATAGGTAAAGATAAGTAATACTAGCAATCATGTTTTGCACAATATCAAATATTGAGGGTCAATCAACTGGAAGAAATGGTTTTGCTAAAATTTTAAATCATGACAAAAGGCTAACTGTAAAATTGTAATGAAATCGATTTGGAATGTTCTGTATTTGAAATAACATTTCTAAATGACTCTTCTATTCACATTAATATTAATATTTCATCGAATTGGCAGCCTTTATGAATTTTGCAGATTGGAAAAGACACTTCCCATTTATAAATGGGGAAAATAAGTAATTTTCTATCAGTTTATGTTTGCTTTCTATTCGTTTTATGTAACATTTATTTTCATCACCTCCGTCCATAACCCCATCTGTTCAATTTTCAGTCCCCATCACACGCCGTTCATGCAACTCATTGTTAATTGTAGTCTCTTTATCCATTCTGAACTTCGAGTCCAACCTAAATCGTTTCAAATTAACTTTTTTGTTTTGATGTTTATATACCATTATAATGCGTACTAATGCTCTAGTCTATGTAATATAACTCAGTTTTTCGGTCTCACTGATCGATTTTGCCAAAACATCATACTGATCGGCATCTCTGTATTTTGAACTTTAAATGCCCTATGATTGAGAAAAAGGATCAGTTCGGTGTTAGGCGCTGTTTTCGCAAAATTACGTCCAGATATTGTTCTAATTTCATAACTTCTTATTTCCCACTATCTAACGCCTTTCCATGATTCCACACAAAAAAAATCACAGTGAAACCACAAATCGACCGTTCAACGTTTAAGCGGGTCACTATCAAGACTGGCCGTACCCACAAATGGTCAGTGGATGTCATTGGTGAACCAGTTCCAACATTACATTGGAGCTGGCGCGATGATATAGCACTTACCACTGGCGATCGTATAAAAATTGAAAATGTCGACTATCATACCGACTTTATCATTTCAAATGTGGTGCGAAAAGATAGCGGTATGTATACACTAAAAGCAGAAAATCGCAATGGCATTGATCGCGAAACCGTCGAGTTGGTTGTACTCGGTAAGCCTACTTCGCCTAAGGGGCCGTTAACGGTGAGCGATGTAACAGCGAACGGCTGCAAGTTGCAGTGGAAAAAGCCTGAAGATGATGGTGGGGTTCCAATTAAAGAATACGTTGTGGAAAAAATGGACACTGCCACCGGAAAGTGGGTGCGAGTTGGACGCTCCCCAGGTGAAAAGGAGCCACCCAGCTTTGATGTGACTGGCTTAAATCCGGGATCTGAATACATGTTCCGTGTATGCGCGGTAAATGACGAAGGCGAGTCCGAGCCTCTGACTACATTAGTTGGCGTAGTTGCTAAAGATCCCTACGATGAGCCGAACAAGCCAGGTACTCCGGAAGTTACCGACTTCGACAATCAGAGCATTTCCATTAAGTGGACTGCGCCTAACAATGATGGTGGTGCGCCCATTGAAAAGTATATTATTGAGAGGAAAGACAAGAACAAACCTGATTGGGAGAAAGCACTTGAGGTACCTGGCGGTCAGCTAGACGCCTGCATAGGTGGACTGCAGGAATACGGGGAATATCAATTCCGTGTTGTTGCTGTGAATAAAGCTGGACTTTCGCCCCCATCTGATCCTAGCAAGGTTCAAGTCGCCAAGTACAAAAAGCGTAAGTACCTTATGTCACACAAAGAGTATTGCCAAGTTTTGGCAAATCATCTAATTCGGTCTATATGTCCCAGAGCAGATGGGTAACGCTGGTGTTTCAATGTTAATATTTTAGTGCAAAATTTATAAGCCATCTACCAGTCCGTAGTCCGCATCATCTAAATTAGAAAAAATGTGTAAGAGTGGTCGCCGGTCGGCAACAGGGTCGCGTGATTTTTAATTAGTGAAATCCCAAATCAAAAAATAAATAGATTTATTAATTGCAAGTTGTATCAAATCATAATAATATGAATAAAATTTATTTGTAATTTGATTTGTCAACCAGATCAATTTGATTCGTGATTTTCTAAATTAAACCCTTTTTTATGTGATTTTCGGGAAAATAAATTTTATTTTTTATTTGTTCGACGAATCAAATCACAAATATATTTTTTTATTTGTCAGACGAATCAAACCACAAATAAAATTTATTTTTGGGTTGGACTATGAATCAAATCACAAATCAAATAGATTTCTTAATTAATAGCGGATTAAAAATCAAAACTTATTTTAAATCACGCAACCCTGCTCGGCAGACATTTATAAGCCTCCGAGTTTACAGCCCGCTTCACTTCAATAGGCACAGATATTTTCCTCAATATCCAAGCTTATATCTGGACTTGTGGGCATCAGAGAAGTTTCATCTCATTTTGAAGAATGATTAATTTCGAAGGGAAGTGATGAAAATGAAGAAAGCACCCTGACCACTTTGGATTTCATTCCAATTTCTATCAAACTACCCGAAAATTATGCTTATCATTTTAATTCACTCGAATAGGGACAGTAGCTTTAACAGAAGGAAAAGACTAGATGGAACCAACAAAATCATACCATTCATTTTAATTCTACTATATAACACTTTCAGTATTGGATGCTATATCCTTAATTCCAATGTATGCAAAAAAATCCCTATCCGGAAGACAATTCTAAGGCGCTTTGAAAATTCAAGGACATCTCGCTGCTTACCACTTTATTCGCCGGAAACCTTGCAAAAAATCCAATTCCAAATATTTTCCGTTAAGTTTAGGTCCTGTAAATATGCCTTTATATTATGCCTCTGCTTCGTTATCCTCGTTTTTACTGCTCCTGTAGTGCGAATCGGTGTATAATTTGCTAGCATTTCTTCCATACATTGGAATTAAGGATGTTGTATCCAATACTAAAAATGTTATATAGTAGAATTAAAACAAATAGTATGCTTTTGTTGGTTCCATCTAGTCCTTTCCCTCTGTTAAAGTCACTGTCCCCATTGAAGTGATTCAAAATAATAAGCTTAATTTTCGGGTAGTTTGATAAAATGTGGAATAAAATCGAAAGTAGTCAGCATGTTTTCCTCATCTTTACCATTTTTTTTCTTCGAAATTAATCATTATTCATAATGAGATCATAAAGAAACTTTTCTGATTTCCACAAGTCCAGATATAAGCTTGGATCTTGAGGAAAATATGTGTACCTGTTGAAGTGAAGCGGGCTGTACACTCGGAGGCTTACAGTGGTCCGCGAGCAGGTTTTCATGATGTAAAATACTTTTTGATTATAAATACGCTATTAATTAAGAAATCTATTTGATTTGTTATGTGATTCATAGTCCAAATTAAAAATAAATTTTATTTGTGATAAGATGCCATAAAAACGCGTCTGATAAAATCCATTTGCCGTCGGTAGGTGGCGTAAGACTATAGGTCCCTCCATTTGTTTAAAAACATAAAGACGGACACTAGCCAAAATTGAAGGCTCCAAAATATTACATTATTATTAAACCGTGCGACAGTAAATTTTACACACACAAAAAATTAATATATTCGCGAAACTATGGGAAAAATATAATAAAACTGCGTCTTTAGTTTTTCTCTCTAACGTCACGATTTTTTTCAAAAGACTTTGCAATTTCAAAGATATGATTAATTCAAAAAATTATTCAAATAATTCAGTGCAATGAAGGAAAACAAAGTGGGTATAAAGAATGTTTTGGTGCATAAGGACGAATGTGAATGGAAAAAGTCCTTTTAAAACTTTGTCCTTGAATATCATTGAAAATTTGCAACATTTAAAAAAAAAATATGTTTTACGGACTCGAATTCCGTCCATACAGTCGACAGTCGGGTCTACGTAACCAGAACGACCCACATTTATATTTGGCCAAGGACTGTCACTCCGGCAACACTCCTCAAAAACTCTTGGGGAACTTGTATGCTGCTACAACAGCAGCACTCTTGCGCCCCAAAAAATTCAATCTTTTTCAATTATACAGAATTTTCTCTTTCATACGCATATTGTTATTTACATTACACTGATTTAATTTAAATCAATGATATCTTTAAAATTTCAAAGTCTTTAAAAAAACCCTGAAAAGATTGAAAAACTAAAAACGCAGTTTTACTATATTTGGCCGATAGTTTCGTGAGTATTTATATTGATAGTTTCGCGTGTTTTGAAATTTTTTGTTTTTGTCGCACGGTGTTATTATTATGCATAAGTACACTCAAGAACTATAAAATACGTACATGTGTTTTCTGTACTTTATCACCAGTTAAACCAAGAATCGATCGTACAAATCTTAAACCATTACTTATACGTGCTGGGAAACCTATCAAATATGATATCAACGTACGCGGCGAGCCACCACCGACTATTACATGGTACCAAAATGACAAGGAATTAAAGCCAGAAGAGTTACCTTCGAATTATGAAATTAAAAATATTCCCCATAACACTAAAATTTCGATAATCGACACCGAACGCAAACACACCGGCACCTACAAAATACGAGCAGTTAATGAACACGGTGAGGATGAAGCTGATGTTGAGGTCAACATTTTGGGTCCACCAGCCAAGCCTAAGGGGCCACTCGAAGTTAAAGACATAACAAAAGATAGCTGCAAACTGAAGTGGAAGAAGCCGGAAGATGATGGTGGCAAGCCAATCACAGCTTATCAAGTAGAAAAGTTCGATAAGAAGCAAGGCCGTTGGGTACCAGTTGGGCGCACCTCTGGCAATGATACTGAAATCGATGTCAAAGGCCTACAAGAGGGCCATGAATATCAATTTCGGGTCAAAGCCATCAATGAGGAGGGCGAATCAGAACCACTTGAAACTGATGGTAGCATTGTTGCTAAAGATCCATATACCGTTGCCGGAAAACCGGGTCTGCCAAAGATTGAAGATTATAACGAGCATATGGTCAAATTGAAATGGGATCCTCCCAGTGATAATGGAGGTGCGCCAATTGTCGGTTATGTAATTGAAAAGAAAGACAAATATTCCCCAGTATGGGATGAGGTGTTAACAACAGATGTAAGTATAAATTTAATACGAGTAGCATATATCCAAAAAAATATAAAGTTTAATTTCCCAATGAAATAAATCAAAAAATAAAATAAATAAATTGCAAATACTTTATAGACACCTAACCCAGAAGCAACTGTAGAGGGTCTGATCGAAGGAAACGTTTATCAGTTCCGTGTTCGCGCTCTTAATAAAGCCGGCCCTAGTGAGCCTAGTACAGCGACGGAACCTCATATAGCCAAACCGAGAAATTGTAAGGAAAATGCAATCCGCTTTATGTGCGCCAAACCATTCGCCACTAAACTGCTTCTAGCCCATTAAATTATTAACCATTTTTCTTATTTAAAAATTGAGTTTCTTTTAGGTAGCTTTTTTTTAATGAAAATGAATGTATATACACACATTTTATGTATTGTATATTTCTATGCATATTTGCTAAGCAAAGCTTTTTCGTTGGGATCTGTTATGTCATACATTTGAAAGTACACATATTTCCTAGTTGCTAATGAACGTTTCACAATTCCTAGTAAAACCACATATAAATCGCGATAAGCTGAAGTCTGTAAAACTAAGGGCAGGCCAAACTGTTAAATTCGATGTCGACGTAAAGGGTGAACCCGCGCCAGCTTTAACATGGACATTCAAAGAGAGAGAACTCTCTAGCGATAACCAAGTGCGCTTGGAAAATGAGGACTACAACACGAAATTGACCATCCTAGATACAACGCGCGCGCAAACCGGCATTTACAAGCTGAAAGCAGAAAACACAAATGGCGTGGATGAAGCCGAGGTCGAAGTGATAGTACTGGATAAGCCATCCAAACCGGAAGGACCACTGGAACCATTTGACGTGCACAAGGAGGGCTGCAAATTGAAATGGAATAAGCCGAAAGACGACGGAGGTGTACCTATTACCGGTTACGTCATTGAAAAAATGGACACTGCGGTTGGACGTTGGGTACCAGCTGGTTCCGTGGATTCTGAAAAAAACTGAGCATGAGATTAAAGGACTTGAACCAAATCATCGTTATCAATTCCGCGTTCGGGCGGTCAACGAGGAAGGTGAATCAGAACCTCTTGAGACTGAATCAGCAATAGTAGCCAAAAATCCGTTTGACATATCTGCACCTCCTGGTTTGCCAGAATTAGAAGACTGGGATGAACACCACGTCAAACTTAAATGGGAACCACCAATTCGTGATGGAGGCGCACCAATTACCGGCTATATTATTGAAATGATGGATAAAGATTCTGGAGAGTTTGTCAAAGCGGCTGAAGTCGAGGGACCTATCTGCAAGGGCACAGTAAAGAAATTGGAAGAAGGGCAACAATATAAATTCCGCGTACGCGCTGTGAATAAAGCGGGTCCTTCGGAACCATCTGAACAGACGAACTGGCATACAGCCAAACCACGTTTCTGTAAGTCATATGTACTTCTGCACTACAATTGTAATTACCACTATTTCTGTTTTCAGTGAAACCACATATCGACCGCACGAACTTAAAGCCCGTTGTTGTCAAAGTTGGTCTGTCTATAAGCTTAGACATTAATGTCAAAGGTGAGCCAGCTCCCAAAGTTGAGTGGTTCTTTAAAGATCAGCCGCTAGTGTCGGATGAGGAAAGCATAAAAATTGATAACATAGACTATAACACCAAGTTCTTTGTGATGCGCGCCAAACGTCCGCAAAGCGGCAAATATGTTATCAAGGCAACCAACGAAGTTGGTGAAGATGTTGCAGATTTAGACGTTACTGTTTTGGGAAAACCGGGCAAACCAAAGGGCCCACTCCAAGTTAATGATATAACAAAGCATGGCTGCAAATTGAAATGGCAAAAGCCAGAAGATGATGGCGGAGCTCCCATCGACTATTATGAAATCGAAAAAACTGGATCCTCATACCGGTCAATGGTTACCATGTGGAAAGAGCACTGAGCCGGAAGCAAAAATAATTGGCTTGCAGGAGGGGAAACCTTATAAATTCCGCGTCAAGGCGATAAACAAGGAGGGTGAGTCAGAGCCTTTGGAAACTGAGAAGGCAATTATCGCCAAGAATCCATTTGATGAACCTGACAAGCCCGGACGTCCAGAACCTACCAACTGGGATAAAGACTTTATCGATGTAGCTTGGGATCCACCAAAGAACGATGGTGGTGCGCCCATTCAGAAGTATATCATTCAAATGCGCGACAAATCTGGACGAGCATGGGTCGATGCCGGTACCGTGCCGGGCGATCATACCAAAGGCACTGTTACAAACGTTGAAGAAGGTCATGAGTATGAATTTCGTATAGTGGCCGTAAACAAAGCGGGTCCAAGTGAGCCTAGCGACGTGTCTAAATCCGTTGTTGCCAAGCCACGCTTCCTTAAACCACATATAGACCGTAAAAACTTACAAAATAAGGTCTTGCGGAGTGGACAAATGTTGCATATGGAAGCTGCAGTAAAAGCTGAACCGCCAGCAAAGATTACCTGGACTTACAATGGAGAAGTTCTTAAAACAACTGATCGTATTAAAATTGAGAATGAAGAATATAAGACTACATTTATTATGCCCAAAGTAAAGCGATCAGATAAGGGAGTCTACATTATTACAGCCAAAAACGATTCCGGCACTGATACTGTCGAAGTGGAATTGGAAGTTCTGTGTAAACCAAGCAACCCTAAAGGCCCGCTTGCCGTCTCCGATGTTACTGCTGAATCTGTACACTTAAAGTGGGACAAACCAGATGATGATGGTGGTGAGCCTATAGAACACTATGTAGTTGAAAGAATGGATACGGAAACTGGACGTTGGGTTCCAGTATGTACCACTAAAACCCCAGAAGCGGACGTTACTGGATTGGTTGAAGGGAAACAATACTTGTTTCGTGTTAAAGCAGTTAACTCAGAAGGTGATTCTGAGCCTTTGGTGACGGAGACACCCACTACAGCTAAAAATCCTTATGATGCTGCTAATGCTCCAGGTAAACCACAAATCACTGATTGGTCCGCCAGCCATGCCGACTTGAGCTGGCGTCCACCAGAAGATGATGGTGGCGCACCTATAACCGGATATGTGATAGAAAAGAAAGATAATACCACCGGAAAATGGCAGAAGATTTTAGAAACGAATACACCTGATTGCAAAGCTCGTGTAAAAGACCTTATTGAAGGCACCAAATACCAATTTCGAGTAAAGGCAGTTAATAAGGCCGGTCAAAGTAAGCCTTCAGAACCATCCGATCAAATGACTGCGAAAGACCGCTTTGCTGCTCCGAAAATTGATAGAACAAATATTAAAGACATTACAATTAAGGCAGGACAGCACGTTCGTCTTGATATTAAAGTGTCTGGTGAGCCACCGCCAACTAAGACTTGGTTTCACAACAAAGCTCGCATCGAGGACCAATCTGAGGATGTTAATATCGACTTGGAATCATATCGTACTAAGTTTTCAATTCCATTCGCTAAACGCAAAAATACTGGAAGGTATACAATTAAAGCTGAGAATGATTCAGGCCATGATGAGGCAACATTCGAGATCAATATTTTGGATAAACCAGACAAGCCCGAAGGACCCTTGCGTGTGTCGGATGTGCACAAAGAGGGCTGCAAATTAAAATGGAACCCACCTTTAGATGATGGCGGCCTTCCAGTTGAGTATTATGTCGTGGAAAAAAATGGACTTGGAAACTGGCCGTTGGATGCCTGCAACGCGCGTTAAGGAACCTTTCGCTGAGCTAAATAACTTAGAGCCAGGTCACGAATACAAATTTAGAGTCTTAGCAGTAAATACAGAGGGCGAATCAGAGCCATTAAATGGAGATCACTCAGTCGTAGCTAAAAATCCATTCGACGAACCTGGTAAGCCAGGCACACCGGAAGCTGTTGACTGGGACAAGGACCATGTGGATTTGGTATGGAAACCGCCACTAAACGATGGTGGTGCACCAATCACGGGCTATGTTATTGAAAAACGTGAAAAGGGTTCTGATCGTTGGATTAAGGCAGCAGAAGTTCCCGCCGGTCCAAGTGTTGGTGAATGTAAGGGTACTGTGCCAAACTTGGATGAAAATTGCGAATATGAGTTCCGCGTGAAGGCGTTAAACCAAGCTGGACCAGGCGAGCCCTCAGACACAAGCAAGACTGTTATCACGAAACCAAGAAAATGTACGTATTATAGTAACTCTTAAGCTCCCATAGCAAACTTTCTTAATGTAGTTTTTTACGTTTTGTTTTTTCGCAGTGGCACCCAAAATTGATCGTCGCCATATCCATACATATAATGTAAAAGCTGGCGAGCCAATATTCCTAGACATACAGGTCTCTGGAGAGCCCGCCCCTGATGTGACGTGGTCTCAAAACGGAAAATCTATACAAACAACTTCAAGTCGGCGCATTGAAAACGTGCCCTACAATACGAAATATATTGATAGCAGTCCTGAACGCAAATGCAGTGGATTATACAAAATTGTTGCCACAAATAGATTTGGTCAAGATCAGGTGGAATTCCAAATCAATGTTATAAGTAAGATGACTAGTTCAGACATCAGAAATTCATATACATTGCAGTTTTCACTGATTCACTTTCATTCTCTGAATCTTCTACAGCCAAGCCTGGTAAGCCTGAAGGCCCACTCGAAGTATCCGACATACATAAGGAGGGTTGTAAGCTGAAGTGGAAGAAGCCCAAAGACGATGGTGGTGAGCCAATCGAAGGATATTTGGTGGAAAAGTTCGATCCCGATACTGGCATTTGGTTGCCCGTTGGTAAAAGTGATGGACCTGAATTCGAAGTGGATGGCTTGACTCCTGGACATGAATATAAATTCCGCGTCAAAGCCTTGAACAAGGAGGGTGCATCAGAGCCACTCGAAACGTTTGGCACTATTGTTGCCAAGGATCCTTTCGGTTAGTCTTAAAGGCTTAATGTAATCTTAAGCTTCTCTAAATAAGCTCTATGAAATCATTCCGAATAAATTAGATCAGGAACCGTAAAAGTTATAAGCGATATCATGTTTTAGTCCTTATGCTTTAATTTTTATCTTTTTTCATAAAATTTGAGAATTATTTCATGAGCTTACTCGCAAAATAATACATATTTAATGAGTTTTATTATCAATAAATAACACTTTTGGAGTGAGTTTTATTATTCGATCAGGAAATAAAACTTATGCGGTGAGTTTTATTTTTCTGTTGTAAAATTAAACTTACTTTGTAAGTTTTGTTTATCGTTTAAAAATAACTGTTATTTCGTAAGTTTTATTAAAAAATCACTGACGTTAGTTTTCAGGCAAGAGACGGTGGCCCAAAATGTTGTCATTTTGGGACCTGTTTTCCGCAAAAACCATTTTTTTTGCTTGTGTTTTTGACGGGCGTCATTTTCAATGAAAAAAAAACATTTGTTATATTCTTGTTTTACAAATAAATTAAACACGGTAGTGACATGTTCATTTTATATAGCTCGTTCTCGTTTTATTCTGTAAAACAAGATATAACAAGTGTTTCCTCATAGGAAATGACGCTCGAAAAAATACAAACTAAGCGGCTGATCTTTGTTGACAACAGGCCCCAAAGCAACAATTGGTCTGAAAACTAAGGTCAGTGATTTTTAAGTAAAACTTTTGAATAATAAATAAAACTTACAAGGTGAGTTTAATACCGCATACGTTTTATTTACTGAACGAAAAATAAAACTCTTTTATTAAGGCGGATAGACAGATGAATCCTCCTTAAGTGTAATTTATTTGAAGAAAAATAAATCTCAAAAAGTAAGTATTATTTTTCGAGCAAACATAGAACTCATGCAATAATTCTTAAATTTGATGATACAGATAAAAATCGTAAAATCTAGGTTTATTGCGCGAATGAGTAGATCTCTAAAAACGATCATTTTCATATACTAAATCATGTATTTCCGAACATCATCTTTCATGTTTATTTACTTGAAACAAATTTGGGCCCATAACAGTTATTAGCGGTCCCTGAATTCAATTTTGAAAAATTTCAATTCTTTTCGCAGTAATACCATCGAAACCTGGAGCACCTGAGCCCAAAGATTGGACCGCTAACAAGGTTGAGCTTGTTTGGAAAGAGCCATCAAGTGATGGTGGCTCTCCGATAACTGGTTACATCATCGAGATGAAAGACAAATACAGCCCAATGTGGGAAAAGGCCTTGGAAACCAATGATGCTAACCCAACAGCTACCATCAATGGCTTGATAGAAGGAAACGAGTATCAGTTCAGAGTCATGGCCGTAAATAAAGCGGGTCCTTCAGAAGCGTCCGACTCCAGTAAAACCTTCATTGCTAAACCAAGATTCCTTGCACCAAAAATTGATCGTCGTAATTTACGTGACGTAACGATTTCTGCTGGTACACCACTCAAATTAGACGCAGTTATAACCGGTGAGCCTGCGCCTAAGGTAGATTGGCGTTTCAATAACGGTCCTCTTCATTCGAGCAACACGGTTACTATTGAAAGTCCTGATTATTTCACAAAACTTGTAGTGCGACCAACTACACGAGGTGATACTGGTGAATATGTAGTAACAGCCACAAATAGCTCGGGCAAAGACAGTGTATTAATAAATGTTGTGATAACCGATAAACCGAGCCCGCCAAAAGGACCCTTGAAAATTTCTGATGTTCACAAAGAAGGCTGTCATCTGAAGTGGAAGCGTCCTGTTGATGATGGTGGCAGTCCAATTGAATATTTCCAGATTGACAAGCTTGATCCAGAAACTGGTTGTTGGGTACCCGTTTGTCGTTCCACAGAACCCCAGGCAGATATCACGGGCTTAAAGCCGGGCAGTGAATACAAATTCCGTGTCTCAGCCGTAAATGCTGAAGGTGAGTCAGAGCCTTTAGTTGGAGATGAATCCATAATAGCCAAAAATCCCTTTGACGAGCCTGGTAAACCCGAGAATCTTCGCGCCACTGATTGGGATAAGGATCACATTGATTTAGCCTGGACTCCGCCATTAAGCGACGGTGGCTCTCCGATTACAGGGTATATCGTTGAAAAGAAGGATAAATATGGACAATGGGAGAAAGCTCTCGAAGTGCCAGCTGCTCAATGCAAAGCAACTATTTCTGATGTAATTGAGGGACAAGCATACGAGTTCCGCGTGTCTGCTGTCAACGCGGGCGGCATAGGTGAGCCGTCTGATGCCACATCGCCAATAATTGCCAAACCCAGAAACAAAGCGCCCCTTATTGATCGTACCAACCTAATTGAAGTGCGCATCAAAGCTGGTCAACCATTTTCATTCGATGTTAAAGTGTCTGGTGAACCGGCTCCAAAAACAAAATGGTTGCTGAAGAAACGTGAAGTGGTTACAAAAGATAATGTTAAAGTAAAACACGTCGACTATAATACAAAACTGAAAGTTGCAAATGCAACACGCACTGACTCTGGCGTATACACAGTGCATGCAGAAAATGCCAACGGAGAAGACTCTGCAGATGTCAAGGTTGTAGTTATTGACAAGCCATCTCCTCCCAATGGCCCACTTAAAGTTAATAATGTTCATGCTAAAGGATGTACTCTTAACTGGAATCCTCCTGATGATGATGGAGGTCAGCCAATCGATTCCTATGTTATTGAAAAACTTGACGAAATTAGTGGCCGATGGGTGCCTGCCGGGGAAACTGAAGGACCAGGAACCAAATTCGATGTGCAAGGTTTGACACCGGGACATAAATACAAGTTCCGAGTTCGTGCGAGAAACCGCCAAGGAGTTTCAGATCCACTCACAACACCACACGCGACTGAAGCGAAAAAATCCATACGATGAACCATCGAAACCGGGTACACCTGTTATTAAAGATTTCGATAAAGATTTTGTCGATTTAGAATGGACGAGACCAGAAACCGATGGTGGCTCACCAATTACAGGTTATGTGATTGAAAAACGTGATAAATATTCACCGGAATGGGAAGAGTGCGCCGAAGTTACAGATGATGTTTGCAGTGGGCATGTACCCAATTTGACCGAGGGTGTAAAATACGAATTCCGCGTACGTGGCGTGAATAAAGCCGGAAAGGGTGAACCCAGTGATGCCACTGCACCTCATGTCGCTCGCAGTAAAAGCGTTCCTCCAAAAATTGATCGCAACTACATGTTGGACATTAAAGTTCGTGCTGGACAAACATTTGAGTTTGATGTGCCAGTGATTGGCGAACCAGTGCCAAGCAAGGAATGGTCTCACGAAGGCAACATGATTATAAACACAGATCGAGTTAAAATTACTAATGATGACTATCGTACAAAGATTCGTGTTATTGACGCCAAACGTGTTGACACAGGTGTCTACCAATTGACAGCCCATAATATCAATGGCACCGATCGAGCCACAGTCAAAGTAACCGTATTGGATGTTCCAGCAGCGCCAGAAGGTCCACTGAGACCGCAGGACGTAACAAAGACTTCTATAACGCTTAGTTGGCGTCCACCTAGGGACGATGGCGGCTCTGAAATTACACACTATGTTGTGGAAAAAATGGATACCGCCGCCATGCGGTGGATACCAGTAGGAGAAAGCCCAGATACGCAAATCCGGGCTGATAATTTAATTGAGGACCACGACTACAATTTCCGTGTACGTGCCGTAAACAAGCAAGGCGAGTCTTTGCCACTGGCGACCACACAGGCAATCACCGCCAAAGATCCATTCTCGCGACCTGATAAACCCGGACAGCCAAAACCAGTGGATTGGGGTAAAAACTTTGTTGAACTTAAATGGCCTGTTCCTAAACGTGACGGCGGATCACCGATCACGGGATATATTGTTGAAAAACGACCGAAATTCGGTCAATGGGAAAAGGCAGCAGATGTGCCAGGCGGTGAAAGTCAAGCGAAAATACCAGATTTAACTGAAAATGGTGAATATGAATTCCGAGTTATTGCTGTAAACAAAGCGGGCCGCAGCGACCCCTCTGATCCATCACCTTTGGTAACATGCAAACCACAATTCATGGCCCCCTATTTCGACAAGTCGTTATTGGAAGATATCACCGTTCATGCAGGAAAACGTTTAGGCTGGACACTTCCAATCGAAGCGTCGCCAAGGCCAACTGTGAAATGGTCATTTAATGGCGTGGAAATTCAACCAAGCCCTCGTGTTGATATGAACTTGTTCCACAACGAATTGACATTTGAAATATCCTCAGCTCTGCGTACCGACGAAGGTCGTTACTCCTTGTTATTGAAGAACGAGTATGGGTCATTTGAAGCATCAGCCCATGCCACGGTCTTGGATCGTCCTAGCCCACCTATTGGTCCCCTTAATGTGGCTAACATTACAAAAGAAGGATGTCATCTTTCTTGGGGAGTTCCGAAAGACGATGGTGGTTCGCCAATTTTGCATTATGTAATTGAGAAAATGGACCTTTCACGTGGAACGTGGTCAGATGCTGGCATGAGCACACATCCAGTGCATGACGTAACGCGATTAGTTCACCGTAAGGAATATTTATTCCGTGTGAAAGCTGTAAATGCCATTGGTGAATCGGATCCATTGGAATTGCCATCAAGTATTGTTGCTAAGAATGAATTTGATGAACCTGATGCACCGGGCCGACCTCAGGTAACTGACTGGGATCGCGACCGTGTGGATTTGCAATGGACGCCACCCAAATCAGATGGAGGCGCAGCAATCACTGAATATATAATACAAAAGAAAGAAAAGGGTAGTCCATACTGGGTGAATACTCAACATGTCCCAGCTGACAAAACGGCAGCGACTGTATCTGGTTTGACTGAAGGTCAGGAATATGAATTCCGCATAATTGCGGTTAATAAGGTCGGACAATCTGAGCCATCAGAGCCTTCGGATCTTGTGATGGCAAAGGCTCGGTACCTAGCACCTAAGATTATAACTCCTCTTCAAGATATAAGAATAAAAGCTGGTCTTATTTTCCACATTGATATTGACTTTATTGGGGAACCGGTTCCGGAAGTTATTTGGAACCACAATAATGCTCCCTTAACCTCCAATGAACGATCAACTATTACATCTGTTGGTCATCATACCGTTGTGCATATCGTTAATTGCCAACGAAACAATTCAGGCACGTACCATCTGTTAATACGAAATGACTCTGGCATTGATGAAGCCAGTTTCCAATTAGCTGTTTTGGATCGACCAGGTCCACCAATTGGCCCTATGGAATACGAGGAGGTTACAGCTAATTCAGTAACCATTTCATGGAAACCTCCCACAGATAATGGCGGTTCTGAAATTTCAGCCTATGTCATTGAGAAGCGAGACCTTACTCACGGCGGTGGATGGGTACCCGCTGTGACTTACGTTAATGCAAAATACAATCATGCGGTTGTTCCTCGTCTGCTCGAAGGCACAAAATACGAGTTCCGCGTTATGGCTGAAAACTTGCAAGGCCGCTCAGATCCTCTTGAGAGCGGGGAGCCTATTATTGCCAAAAATCAATACACAGTGCCTGGAATACCAAGCAAACCCGAACTTACTGACAGCGACAAAACGCATATCGCATTCAAATGGAAATCGCCAATCAGCAATGGTGGATCACCCGTCTTGGGTTACGATATTGAACGCCGTGATTTGACAACTGGCCGTTGGGTACGCATCAATGCTGAACCTGTACCCCTTACCGAATATACTGACGAACGTGTAAGCCCAGATCATCAGTATCAATACCGCGTCTCCGCTGTGAATGCTGCAGGTAGTGGGAAACCGTCAGAACCAAGTAATACATTCAGCGCCCGACCGATGCGTGAGAAACCGAGACTGCATCTGGATGGCCTTGTCGGACGAAAGATTAAAGTCAGAGCTGGTGAACCAGTCAACCTTAATATACCAATATCAGGTGCCCCAACACCAACCATTGAGTGGAAGCGCGGTGACCTCAAAATTCCCGAAACTAACAAAATTTCCTACAACACCAACTCTGAACGCACAATATTCCGAATAGACGATTCCACTAGACAGGATGCTGGTTTGTACACAGTTACTGCCTCAAATGAGTTCGGCAAAGACTCTGCGGATATTGAAATCATAGTCGTGGACAAACCAAGTCCACCTCAAGGACCTCTCAATTACACAGAGGTTGCTCCTGACCATATAAGCCTAGCATGGAACCCACCAAAAGACAACGGAGGCAGTGAAATTACTGGTTACGTTATTGAATTCAGTGAATTCGGAGTTGATAATTGGCGTCCAGTACCTGGCTACTGCCCAAAAACCAATTACACCGTTAAGAACCTAGTTGAAGGCAAAAAGTATGTCTTCCGCGTCATGGCCGAAAACATTTACGGCATTTCTGAGCCATTGGAAGGCAAACCTGTTGTGGCTAAATCGCCCTTCGATCCACCAGATGCACCCAGCCAACCGCAAGTTAATTCATATTCTCCAAGTTCTGCTAGTTTGGAATGGCATCCACCAGAGTACTGCGGCGGTAAGCCAATCACTGGTTACATAGTAGAGCGGCGTGAACGTGGTGGCGAATGGATTAAATGCAATAATTATCCCACACCAAACACAAGTTATACAGTACAAGACTTGCGGGAAGGAAGTCGCTATGAGTTCCGTGTGACTGCCGTAAATGAAGCTGGACCTGGTAAACCATCAAAACCATCAGAACCAATTACTGCACAACTTCAGCGGTACAAACCTGATGCTCCAGAACCGCCTAAACCAGATCGTATCACTAGAAATGGTGTTACTTTATCGTGGAGGCCACCAAGGTTTGACGGGAAATCTAAAATCAAGGGGTACTATTTGGAAATACGTCCAAAAGACTCAAAGAATTGGCTGCCGGTTAATGAACTTCCAATCACGGACACAGTTTATCATGTACCCAATCTTGAGGAAGGAAAAGAATACTCATTTCGTGTATTTGGTGAAAACGAGGTCGGACGCTCCGATCCATCGAAGCCGTCCCAACCAATTGTTATTGAAGAACAACCAAATAAACCACGCATGGATCTTGGTGGTGTACGCGATATTGTGTGTCGTGCCGGAGACGACTTTTGCATACATGTGCCATATGTTGGTTTCCCTAAGCCAACTGCACATTGGTATTCGAATGATCTACTCATAGAAGATGATGGTCGCCGTATATTCCAACACTTGACTGACGATGCCGCATCATTTGTGGTAAAAAATTCAAAACGTTCTGACTCGGGTCAATATAGACTGCAATTGAAAAAACCCGTCCGGATTTGATACAGCTACAATAAATGTGAAGGTACTAGATCGTCCACGACCACCAACAAATCTATGTGCTGATGAATTCGCCGGAGATGCGCTAACACTCTACTGGACACCACCTAAAGATGACGGCGGTTCTCCTATAACAAATTACATTGTTGAAAGGAAAGAGAAATCGTCAAATACATGGACGAAAGTAAACAGCTATTGCACCGTACCATTCTTGCGCATACGGAACTTAACCCTCGGCAGAGATTACGACTTCCGAGTTTATGCCGAAAATAAGTATGGTCAGTCCGAGCCAGCCACAACTTGCGAACCTATTCGTGCTCGTCATCCATTCGATGTACCGAACGCGCCTGGCATTCCTCGTGGAATTGATTCAAGTGAAGATAGCATTACAATTACTTGGGCCAAGCCAAGACATGATGGTGGTTCACCAATTACTGGTTATATCATCGAGAAACGCCTAATTAGCGAAGAGAAATGGACTAAAGCCATTCACGCCCATTGCCCGGATTTGACTTGTAGAATACCAAATCTAATTGAAAATGGTGAATATGAATTCAGAGTTGCAGCGGTGAATGCAGCTGGACAATCACCTTATAGTGCTTCCAGTGACCCTATTTATTGTCGCCGTCCACCACATGCGCCAAAGATTACCTCAGATCTGTCTATAAGAGACATGACAGTTATAGCCGGAGAAGAATTCCGCATAACAGTTCCGTATACTGCAAATCCTCGTGCTGTTCCGTCATGGTCGATAAATGGCCAAGAAGTCATACAAGATGGTCGCATTAAATTTGACACGAACGATTACAGTTCTGTTTTCTATAATAAATCTGCCAAACGCTCAGAAACCGGCTCTTATACAATAACATTGACTAATAGTAAGGGCTCTGACACGGCTTCCTGTCACGTAACAGTTGTGGACCGACCTAGTCCACCTCAGGGACCATTGTCAGTGTACGATATAACACCAGACACGTGTACATTGTCCTGGAAAACACCACTGGATGATGGTGGATCGCCAATTACCAACTATGTGGTCGAAAAGTTAGATAACAGTGGTAGCTGGACTAAAGTCAGCAGTTTCATACGCAATACCCATTACGATGTTATGGGACTAGAACCCAATCGTAAATATCATTTCCGTGTACGTGCAGAGAACCAATATGGCCTCTCCGATCCGATAGAGTTAACTGATCCAGTTGTCGCGAAATACCAATTCACAGTGCCAGATCCACCTGGCCAACCGAAGGTTATCGATTGGGATTCAGGAAACGTTACACTCATATGGGCTCGTCCACCTAGTGACGGAGGTTCAAGAATACAAGGCTATCAAATTGAATATCGTGACATTGTAAATGACTCCTCGTGGAATACATACGAATTTGTGATTAAAGATACCAAATATCAGCTTTATAATCTCACAAACGGCTGCGAGTATGAATTCCGTATAAAGGCAAAGAACGCCGCTGGCTTCAGTAAACCATCACCACCATCATCCAAATTTAAGCTGAAGGGCAAATTCACAGTACCATCACCGCCGGGCACACCTCAGGTGACGAAGGTTGGGAAAAACTACGTTGACCTCAAATGGGAAAAAACCAACAAGCGACGGTGGTTCGCGAATAACAGGATATATTGTTGAGCGTCGTGATGTTGGCGGGGCAGTTTGGGTTAAATGTAATGATTACAACGTGATGGATACCGAGTATACCGTACTCAATTTAATCGAAATGGGAGACTATGAATTCCGCATTTTCGCCGTAAATGCCGCCGGCCGATCTGAGCCGAGCTCTTGCACTATGCCCATAAAGGTATGCGAAGTGATCGGCGGTGAAAAGCCAGAATGGGTGACACGTTTACAAGACCGTATTGCACCATGTGGCAAGGACTTTACTTTGGAGTGCAAAGCCATAGGTAAGCCATTACCAAATGCCAGGTGGTTACGTAATGGCAAAGAAATTCAATTGGGCAGTGGACGGTTTGTCAGCGATAGCAAAGATGGTGTATTTCGTTTGCACATTTCAAACATCCAATCTGGCGATGAGGGTGACTACACCTGCGAAGCATTTAATTCTCTTGGATTTGTACACACCACTGGTCATTTGAAGATAGGTTCACCGCCAGTTATCACTCGCTGCCCAAGTGAACTCTTGATGGCAGAAGGTGACAATACTAAAATTAAAGTTTACTACACAGGTGACCAGCCAATGACAGTTACTGTCACCAGAAACAATGAGATTATTTCCGAAAAAGATGAACCACACTTCAAATGCACTGTGTTTGATGACTACGTGGCAATATTTATTCGAGACATCGTCAAAGATGATTCTGGGCTTTATCAAATTAAGTTTGAAAATGAATCTGGTACTGCGATAGGCCAATTCGATGTTCGAATCACTGGACTGCCATCCGCGCCTGTAGGCCCAATGGGTGTGTCACATATCAACAAGCATTCTTGCTCGCTAACCTGGAGACCACCTTCTTATGACGGCGGTCTGCGCGTAACACACTATGTCGTAGAACGAAAGGACGTAAGTTCACCACACTGGATAACCGTATCAAGCTTCTGCAAAGACTTGTCGTTTAATCTACAAGGACTTATCGAAAACCAAGAATATATCTTCAGAGTAATGGCTGTAAACGACAATGGCATGGGACCGCCATTAGAAGGCTTGAATCCTATTCGAGCAAAGGCGCCTATCGACCCACCATCGCCGCCTGGCAAACCAAGTGTAACCGAAATTGGCGGTGATTTTGTTCATCTCGAATGGGCCAAACCGGAATCAGATGGTGGCGCTCATATTCAAGGCTACTGGGTTGACAAGCGCGAAGTTGGTAGTAACACATGGCAACGTGTTAATGTTACCATTTGCCTTACCAACCAGATAAACTGCTCGAATTTGATTGAAGGCCGACAATACGAATTCCGTATTTATGCACAAAATGAAGCTGGGTTATCAAAAGAGTCCACGAATTCCACCGCGGTTAAGGTAATTGATCCACAAGCCGCTACTCCACCAATCATTGTTAAACCCTTGAGCCCTGCATCTTGCATTCAAAATCACAATGCACAATTTACGTGCACTATTACTGGTTTACCACGCCCAGTAATTACATGGTACAAAGGAGCTCGAGAAATCACCAATGGCGCGCGCTATCATATGTACGCTGAAGGGGATAACTACTTCCTGAATATCACCGACGTCTTTGGCGAAGACGCAGATGAATACGTTTGTCGTGCTGTCAACAAGGCGGGCGCTAAGTCAACGCGCGCTGCTTTGGCCATATTGAGTAAGTACCTTTTCTATTTTCAGCCCAACAGTACACACCATTACTACCTTTTTCATTTATTTAATGATTTTTCCTTTTCGCGGCAGTTTGAAGAGATTTTAGTAATCGGAATCCTACTTACTTACTTAGTTAATTTCCCTAATCCACTTATTCGTTAAATCTGAAAATCTTAATCTAATTTAAATTTGAAAGAAGTTATAAATCTGCAAACCATTTAGCATGAAACTTATTACTTACGACGACTTATTCATCGTCAAATCAATGAGAAGAAAGCCAAAAATCGTAACCTAATTAAAATATAAAAGAAGAAGTTAGAAGGCAAACTATTTAGCCTGAAACTCTATTCATCTAAAATGTTAATAAAAGCTTTGAAAAAATATTATACCCTTAGAAGCAAAAAACTAAACCAACTTCAATTTTCATATAAAAATTTAAGATTGTCGTTAATTTCTTCATGATCCAATGAATGAATTTAAAACAAATTAACACGAAACCACCTGTGAGTTAACACATTTCCTTTAAAAAAGGAATTATAGAGGTCAGTTAGCGTGGTTCAAAGTTACGCGGTAACATACATTAAAAAAAAATTATATATTCCGACGAACTGATAACCTTCTCCTTTTTGTGAAGTCGGTTAAAAAACAAAACCAACTTCAATTCTCATATACAAAATTTAAGGATATCGTTAATTTGTTCTTGATCCAATGATCGGGCTTAAAACAAATTAGTATGGCACCACATTTTGAGGTAACACCTTTCCTTTAAAAAAAAAGAATTATAGAAATCGGTTAACGTGATCCAAAGTTATGCGGTAACATACATTAACAAAATATATATATTCCGACGAACTGATAACCGGTAAAAAATCAAATAAAAAGACTTTTTAATATACCAAGTTTCGATAAATGGATTAAAAAGTAGAGAGTAATTTTACCTAGTAGAATTTGTCTTGATATGTTTTGATTTTAAAATTTTAACAAAAGTCATCAACGGCAATTTATGAGATTAAAAATGAAAAACGTGAGTAGGCTAGTTTTGCATGTTCTATTTATTTTACGTTCTATCCCGGCAAAAAATCGGTAATCGCTTTTAGTGGTAACGTGTTCTAGAACGCATTGTCTTATAATGTCTTCTAAATTTTTCGCTTCTTTTAGGCTTTTCCGGTAATGCATAGTAGAAGGTTCTACAATATTTTGTTAATTTCGCTGCTTTGATTCATTACGGGGAATGCCAAGTAGAATGCTTCACCGTAGTCAACTGAAAAATATAATGAATACTCAAAAATTCTTTTCTACCGTTATTTTTGTGAAAAATTCCATAGCATAAAAATCATGTTTTTTGTACATGAGTGAGGAAGTACAATTTTAAGTTTCATTAAATATGTATGTATGTACATTAGGGTGGTTCAAAAATGCATGTGAAAAAGTAAAGCCGGAATTTTTATGCTCTCACCCCCTAGGATTGTTTTATACCGAAAAAAAATATATCACTATTTTTTAAATTTGAAATCAAAAAATATTTAGAGGTCGCTCAAAGCCTCAAAGTTTTCCATGTATTTTATATGGGGAAAAATTGTTTATTTAACCATTTTTTCATCGCAACTATAATTTATATGTCCGCCAAAAACCCACAAAAACCCCAAAAATGCAATGGGCGGACCAATAAATATTCGATAGTATTAAAAAATGGATAAATAAGCAATTGAGTATTATTATTGAAAATCTCCTGAAGAGAAGCAGAGTTTTCCGATCGAAAAATATTGATTTCCAAGAGTTCTATACCATTTCTACGAAAAGTTGTTTTTTTCCATATAAAAATACTTGGAAAACTTTGAGCGCTTTGAGCGACCTCTAAATATTTTTTTGATTTCAAAATAAAAAAATAGGAGTACACTTTTTTTCGATATAGAACAATCCTAGGGGGTGAGAGCATTACACTTCCGACTTTACTCTTTTTGTACCACCCTAATGTACATACCGATTTTTAAGTAAGATCTAAATACCTAAATATATACATATATAAATATGTTGGCCGCTGTGGTGTAGTGGTAAGCAGTGCGCGCTTCCACTCCGCAGCACCTGGGTTCAAGCCCTGGTCAAAGCAACATCGCAAATAAATTTAGAAAAATGTTTTTTCTTAACAGCGGTCGTCCCCCGGCAGGCAATGGCATATCTCCGAGTGTATTTCTGCCATGAAAAACCGCTTCTCATAAAAATACAATCGCCGTTCGGAGTCGGAGGGGAAGCTCGGCCAAACACTAACATATGTGTAAGCGCCAATCTATTATTATTATTATATGTATGTATAAAAACTGATTTATAAAAATCCCAATCTTTTAAGACAATCTGTATTTTCGATTTTCAATTTAATATACATAAGTATGTACTTATCTAGGCATTCTACATTAGTTTCTCTGTAAGGAATTCTTTTTTTCGATTCTCTGCATTCTGTTTATCCATGCGTTCTCCCTTCGTTCGAATGTAATGCTGCGGGTAAGCGCTTACGGCCAATGACATGCCCATGTTAAAATAATGCCTTCTTGAAGCGAAAGGGTAAGTGATTCCCATCGCCTAATTCGATTCCATTTTAACTTCTTTTGTAATCGTGTTTTTTTGCTGGGATGGTATACTATCCTAATCATATAATGTCTCAATTAACTTTTACTATAATAATAATAGTGAAATCTAAATAAACATAAAAGCGAGTTGATATAAACGTGGTAATAGCTTTCCCCTAACGTCTGCGGTCTACTTCCAATAATTTTCATGAAATTTTTTCTTTTCTATTTTTCTAGCTGCTCCCAAATTGAATGTTCCTCCACGGTTCCGCGACACAGCTTACTTCGACAAGGGTGAAAATGTTGTCATAAAAATTCCATTCACCGGATTCAGGAAACCAAGAATTACTTGGGTACGGGAAGGTGAAATTATTGAGTCAGGTGGGCATTATAGTGTTGAAGTTAAGGAACGTCATGCAGTGTTGATTATTCGAGATGGCTCGAAACTGGACTCGGGACCCTATGTTATAACTGCTGAAAATGACCTAGGCTCCGATACGGCTACAATTAGAATTCAGATCAGCGATCGCCCTGATCCACCCAGATTCCCACTCATTGAGAATATCAGTACTGAGTCTTTATCACTGAGTTGGAAGGCTCCCGTGTGGGATGGTGGCAGTGAAATAACCAATTATGTAGTAGAAAAACGCGAGCATCCAATGTCATCATGGATCCGCGTTGGAAATACACGCCTAACTGCAATGGCTGTTACTGGCCTAACACCAGGAAAGGAATATGAATTCCGAATTTATGCTGACAATGTATATGGCCGTTCAGATCCGTCGGAAATTAGTACACTGATCAAGACAAGAGAAATCATAAAAAAGAAGCCGGCTGAAAGACGTTGGGAAATCGATGAGCATGGCAGAAAAGTTAGAGGCAAAGCTGATGGACCAATTAAAGATTACGATTCGTATGTCTTTGACATATATTCCAAGTTTGTACCACAGCCCGTGGAAATTTCACATGACTCGGTTTACGACAAATATGACATTTTGGAAGAAATTGGTGCTGGCGCCTTTGGCGTTGTACACCGCTGCCGCGAACGTAGCACCGGTAACATATTTGCGGCGAAATTCATTCCTGTATCCCACGCGGTTGAGAAGGATCTAATAAGGCGGGAAATCGACGTGATGAACCAGTTGCATCATCAGAAACTAATCAATCTACATGATGCATTTGAAGACGATGATGAGATGGTGCTCATTTTAGAATTGTGAGTGTATCAAACGCAGCATGTGTTGTATTAGCTCTTGAATTTCGATCCAAAATACGTGCTATACTTATACGGTTTTCAAAAAAGGTTGTATTTAGATAGGGTCCAGTACAAAATGAAAATAGGTATCTTATTGTTCCTGAGCCCCCTTTTTTTTAAACGTGATTTTCGTACCTGATTCACTTATTTATTACCAGCTTTACTATTTTCAACAAGTAAGAAAGTCTAAATTCGGGCTGAGCGGAACATTAATACCCGGCGCTAGTATTAAATATATGTTTTTCACCTTTCCGAAAGCTACCGCAACATGGTAAGCCGGGGTGTATCAATTTTGAGTAAATTACCGTTCTTAAATTTCGAAATATTGAAGTTTTAAGCATTTCTGAAATTTACCGTTATATGAAAAGCGGCCGTAATTTTAGTCCGATTTCAATAATTTTCAACATTTTGCTTTTACGTGGCAAGCACAATAACCATACCGAGTTTGATACAATGTGGTGGAACGGTTACCGAGATACAGATATTTGATCATAAGTGGGCGGTGGCACGCCCATTTCCAAAAATTTTATCATAAACGTATTTCTTGGTAAAGAGTTGTTGCAAGCATCAATTTTGAATAAATTAGGTTAAATATTTATTGATTTATCGAAGATTTTGTATTTCTCTAAACTACCGTTATATGGGATGTGGGCGTAGTTATTGTCCGCTTTTACAAATTTTCGGACATTTGGTATGTTGTACCAAAGCCAACAACTGTGCCAAGTTTGGAAGAAATTGGTGCAGCGGTTACCAAGATATACACATGTAACCATAAGTGGGCGTGGCTTCGCCCATTTTCCAAAAATTTATAATATTCTTATTTTTCGTCTGAAATTTATTGTAAATATCAATTTTGAGTGAATAATCTTCAGTAGTTACTAAAATATTGCAGTTTTCGTATTTCTAAAAATTACCGTTATATGGGAAGAGGGCGTCATTCGATTTCGCCCATTTTCAATACCAACCTACCTTGGATAAATGGAAACCTGCGTACAAAATTTCGTTGAGATATCTCAATTTTTACTCGAGTTATGGTGTACACGGATGGACGGACAGACATGGCTTAATCGACTACTCTATTCATTCTGAGCACATTTGTCTATATCTATCTTGATTCGTTTTGGCTGTTACAAACAACCGTTATGTGAACAAAGTTAATACACCCTTGTGCACAAGTGCGCTCGGGTATAAAAATTTGAAAAGAGGATTTGTAGCCTTTTAAAATGATGACTAACAACTTATCGTGTGTGGTATACTCAATAACGAAGTTTACTCTCTCATTCGTCATTCGCACTCCAATTACCCTTCGAATTAGTTAGTTCGGCATACAACGTTTTGAAATCGCATTACCTCATGTAGGTAATTCAGATCAAATTACCATGCGAATTACGAACAAATTGCTGCTTTCCCTAAATTTTATCGGAAATTTATCGAAACCAGCTAGCAAATCGAATCTTGCACTTTTTCTGGGTACTAAAAGTAAAGTTAATAAATATGTAAATCACCAGTTTAATTCAAAAATGTATACATTTTTAACAATAGCTTACATTTTGCATCAGAGCTGTGTAAGTGTAAAATCATTTTCAATTTTAAATCAACAATTTTTTTCTATTCAGTTTTCATTACTTATTCAGTATTCATTACTATATCGTTGTTTATTTGGGTAAAATTAAAATAAATTTCACTGTTCAATATTGGATTTGGTGTGAAGTATGCAAACGAGAACAACAAATATCAACTTATTGAGCATTAGCCTCATTTATTTAAAAAACAAAAGACATTTTGCTTGGTAAAATTTCGATTCTAAGAATGAAATGTTTTTAAACTAACAAAAAATTATTAATAAAATTTGAAGGATTTTAGATACTGCGTATGGTAGCATGAAATTTTACAATCTGCTTAATTGTCAGGTTGTTTTTTGTATCATAGAAACACATAGCAACTGATTTCACACTTACAGTGGGATAAACTTAAAACCTCTAATATAAATTAGTTAAATTTAGTTAAGATTTTTTTGTATAAATTTTAAGTTTTCGTTTGGAATAATTTTCATGAACTAATCTATTAAGAGATATTTTTAGAAAATTGCCGTACATCCGACATCTATTAAAATTTTGACATCCTCATCTTTAGAAAAAGAAATTCAAGACACAAGTTAATGTGCAAAAATTAAATTAAAAGTCTCCTTATATTTATGGAACGTATAATAGAAAAATTTTTATTTCATAACCAGACTTTATGAATAGCCTACTCTATAAGTAATAGTAGAAATTCCGAATAAGTAAGTTCAGTCAAGATGTCATTCAAAAGTTTTGAAGAAAATCACTTTTCTCTTTTGTGAAAATTTGGGACTATCTTATGCGAGTATTGTCGGCAAAATGTTAGTCTATGAATGATTAAAAATTAACGAATAAATGGTTAATCGCAAATAATAATTAAAATTAATAAAGCATTCGCTGTGGTGTAGTGGTTAGAAGTGCGCACTACCATTCCGCAGGGCGAGGGTTCGAGCCAAGTTCCGGCTAACATAAAACAAGAAAAAGTTTTTTGTAATAGTGGTCGGCCCCCGGCAGGAGTCGGCGTAAAACTGTAGATCCCTTCCCTTGGTGCGACAACATCAAGGCGCATGCCACAATCGGAGGAGTCGCTCGGCCAAACACTAACATATGTCGATGGTCCTCTGCAATAACGGCACAACTCAGGTTTTTGAGATATATAGTGGATTAGGTTAATAAATAACCATATTCTTCTGTGGCAAATCGACATAGGCTTTGTTGTTACCAATCCGGCAGAGGCAAAGTTTTGCCATTTGGCATAAAACCGAAGTAGCCAACCCTTACAACTGAACAGTGGCAAATGTCTAACATTAATCGTGAATATTGGCATAAGTCAAAAACTGTGAAATAACGACACTTTTCGTTTTGTTTCGTTGTTCAGCAACACAAATGGAATTTTTTTTTCGTTTAACTACATACCAGTTGTTACTTATTTCGTATTTTTGCAGTCCAACACTTACTGAATCTTTAGAAAGAGACATAATTTGAATTCTCTGGTTTGCTTATTTTTAACGACAAGGGGCAACATTTCTTCAAATAAAACATTAATTACACACGCACAAATTTTGCCTGCAATTTCGATCACAATTGAACACTGCACTTCACTCTCGTTTCGAATTTTTGAAAGCGTTTTTTAAGCTATTTAATGGCTGAACACTTCTCGGGGGCACTTGATATTGTAAAAAAAAATATGCGCAATCCGATCCCTAACTACATTTTTTTGTAAAGAACGCCCGTTTAATTTAAATTTGTAAAATTACAATTATTTCTTTTGTTTTGTTTACATCTGTCATTTGTTACAAATGAAGAAAAGTCCAAGAGTTCCCAAATATAAATATTTGTATATCTATTTATTAAAAAAATAATTTATAATAATAATTTATTTAAATAATACTTTATTAAAACACAAATTTGAAGTGCAAATACATTTGCAAAACTGTTTATCAAAAAATATTATTAATTTGGCAGCATACTATAGTTTTCATGCATTTTGAGAACAATTAATCGAATATCTGTACATACATATGTATAGCATATACTTATGGCGGCCGTGGTAGCAGAGTGATTACATGTGCGTACTTCCACTCCATAGGACCATGGTTAAATCCCTGGTCAGATTATAACCCAAAATAGCAGTCGTCCTTCGGCACGCAATGACAAACCCTCGAGTATATTTCTGCTTAAAAAACTCTTCTTATAAAATAATTTGGTGTTCGGAGTCAGCCTTAAATATGTACATAGGTTTCTCCATTTGTGCCACAACAACAGAACTCATGCCTCAAGTTTGAGCAGAAGCTCGGCCAAACACTTAGAAAAATATTTTAGCACCAAATATTTATTTGTTTACTTATTTTAAGGGAAATGGCAATCTTCTGGTTTCACATTTTGAGTACAAAAATCTCAACCCTGATACAACAAATAGTATTAGTACTGAACGATAATGACAGATTGCATTCACATAAACGTACAATCGTACATGATTGAGTTTTTTTTTGCATTCACATTCTCTATGTGAATGGGTGTCAACCATTCCATAACACATTACATATTTTGTGTTTATAATTTGTAACTAATCTTAAGAGTGGTTGTTAAATTTTTTAAATCAAACAATCACATTTTTGAAACGAATAAAATTAGAATGCACACTCAATTGATTCAATCATTACACAGCTCTGTTTTGCATCCATTTTTTAGCGAACAAAGTTACTCACAATGCCGAAGTTGTATTAGATTGTTGGGAGTTTTCATTTTTTCTTAATTTTTCTTATTTTAATCATCGCTAATTTCAAAAATTTCTATGAAAGTTACCAATTATGTATGCAGTATTTATCTAAAAGTATTCGCGAAAAAATGTATACCTCATTTAATGAAATCATGTAAAATTATCGAAGTTAAGCAATTTAAGTAGAAATACGGTCTGGAGTTTTCCAATCTTTTGCGGAGTGTTACTAAGAAATTCATCAAGCACCGTCATGAAAATTTTTTAAATCTTCCAGAGACCAATCCCCCTAAAATATCGCTAACCTTGAGTGGTTTATGATTACCATTACAGGCACGGTCACTAGATTAGGTATCAGTTTGCTCGAAAATAAATGTACTTTTATACGTATGTATATAATATCGTCGAGGCCTTTGCAAAACCACCCATCGGACCAGTGGCAAAACGGCCTAAATGGCCGTTGTGGCAAAAGTACGATTTGGTAACCACAAACTCCAAGGCATCGAGACTTATGCATAAAAATCTTAAAATCATTATAAAAACAACATATTTTAACAATATTTTAATAGAAAACAGCTCATTTTTTGCTTTTATATTAAAATATCAATATTGTTGCCGCCACGAAGTTTTCGCGCAATGAAAATGTGGCTGTCAAACTACCAAATTGCTGGCAATATTTATCAAGATAAAAGCTCTGATAATTATTGCTTGGCAACTTTTATAAAAATTTTTGAAATTTGAAAAATTTAAGAAAAATAGAAGTTTTTAAACTTTACCCGACGGCAACTTCTAGCGATCTAAGTATACCAATAGATTGTTTAATGTCATTATAAAGATATATACGTAAATCCTCTTTATGAGATATATTCAAGCTTGTAATAAATAAGTGAAAATAACGGGTTTTTAATAAAAAAAAAAACAAAGGAGTGTTCAGGAACTATAAGAACCCTATTTTCATGTTGTACTCGGCCCTACACAAAGTTTTGTTTCGGGTGTATTTCGTGACTTTATTTTTGTAAGACGGTGTTATCAGTATATTCATTACATTCAATATACACACGTACATATACATATGTATTCAAATCCAAATTATTTTTCAGCTTATCTGGTGGAGAATTGTTCGAGCGCATAACCACCGAGGGCTACTTCATGACTGAAGCGGAAGTAATTAACTATATGCGCCAGATTTGCGAGGGCATTAGACACATGCACGAAAAGAATATCATTCATCTGGACATAAAGCCAGAAAATATTATGTGCCACACTCGCAGCAGTACGAATGTGAAACTTATTGATTTCGGATTGGCCACTCGTTTGGATCCCAATGAAGTAGTCAAAATAACAACTGGTACCGCCGAATTCGCAGCGCCTGAGATTGTGAATCGCGAACCGGTTGGTTTCTATACGGATATGTGGGCCACTGGAGTCCTTGCTTATGTACTGTTAGTATCTTGAGTTAAATTATTATTTTAATACGACGCCGCTTTCTAACCTAACCAATTTTTTTTTTTCTATTTTTGTGATTTAGGTTAAGTGGATTGTCGCCATTTGCTGGCGATAACGATATACAAACACTCAAGAACGTCAAGGCCTGTGACTGGGACTTCGACGAAGTCGCCTTCCGCCATATTTCCGATGAAGCTAAAGACTTTATTAAAAAACTACTTATCGCCAATAAGGAAAAGCGTATGACTGCACATGAATGCCTGTTGCATCCATGGCTAACAGGTGATCATAGCGATCGCTCACAGAAAATTGCGCGCGATCGCTACCTTGCATTCCGTGATAAACTTCGGAAGAAATATGAAGATTTCGACAAGTATTTACTTCCTATTGGACGCTTATCCGAATACTCTTCGCTGCGTAAATTGCTAATGGAAAAATACAAAATGCACGAAACTTCGTTCGATCGTCGACAAGCGGCACCACGCTTTGTCATCCGGCCGTCATCGCAATTCTGCTACGAAGGTCAAAGTGTAAAGTTCTACTGCCGTTGTATAGCTGGTGCTACACCCACACTTACATGGTCTCACAACAATGTAGAGCTGCGGCAAAGTGTAAAATTTATGAAACGTTACGCTGGGGATGATTACTACTTCATTATCAACCGCGTCAAGCTCGACGATAGGGGCGAATACATAATTCGTGCAGAGAACCACTATGGCTCACGCGAAGAGGTTGTATTCTTGAACGTGCATCCACTACCGAAAGAGCAACCGCGCTATCGCAGTGAAACGACGCCGTTGCGCCGACGTGATCCTCTACCATATACATTCTGGCAAGAAGAATCAGAATCGGCACCCAGCTTTACATTCCTTTTACGTCCGCGTGTCATGCAAGCTCGCGACACATGTAAGCTTCTTTGTTGCCTCAGTGGAAAGCCCACGCCGACTGTAAAATGGTACAAAGATGGTCGGGAACTTAGCAAATACGAATACTCGATGTCAACTTCGGACGGTGTTGTTACCATGGAAATCATCGATTGCAAGCCTTCAGACTCTGGCAAATACACTTGTAAGGCGACCAACTGTCACGGTACCGACGAAACAGAATGCGTAGTCATCGTTGAAGGTAAGAAGTGAATGTGATTAAGTTATATGCACATAAAGATACATACATTGCGCGTATTTAAGAGGAAGTGTTGTATACAAACCAATAGTAAAAAAGAAACGGTGGGGATGTAGATATCGAAGATGTTATTCCATTTTTAGAGAAGTTTTTAGAAATGAAAAACACAAACACATCTTTTGGCAAAATGATTTAAGTATGGAAGCGTATAATGCATATCGTCATCTATATATATATTTATTATTATATATATTATATTTATTTTATCTATATATTTTTTCTCTTAAAACGATGTGGGGAGTTGTAATTCGATGAAATCCATCATAGCAATCAAAACGTGAATTTTGAATTTTTTATAAGTTATGACTTTTTGGCATTTCAGTGACGATGTTGTTACGTTATTTTGCATTTCAGGTAACGATATGTATATGCACATACGTATGTATGTACAGTAAAACCCGCTTAAGTACCTCACGAAAAATGTCAGCTTTTTGAGGTACTTAGGCGGGTTGGGTACTTAAGAGAACCCGCTTAAGTACCTCGATGCGGGTACTTAAGTGAGCATAATTATTGTTGTAGTTACAGCGTCTTGTTAACTTACACACATTTAATGAAGTATACTTACGTACATACATACAGTTTGGACCAAATTCAAAATGATACTGTTTGCCGCTTATATTTATTAATTTTTAAGATTTGTCAATTAAAGTACAGTTCATTGCCTAAAAACATACCATATAAACTTAAGCTTCAAATTTTGTAGAAGTTCATAAAATTTTCATCAAAATTTGAAACTTTTTTCTCATAAGTGACCCCATTCAATTTTTGGTGTTACAAGTGGCAAAAAATTACTTTTGATTTTTTAGAATTTTTTTTGCAGAAGATGCTGCGGGTTTCTTCACATAAAAAATGGTTTTTATTCGTTATATGGAAGCAACGCCGACAAAACATTCTAAAAAATCAACGGTAATTTTTAGCCACTTGAAACTTGCATGTTGTTATACTCACGGTAGCAATTAATATCGATTGTGTAGCACTGCCATTCCAAAATATGTAAATATTTTAAGAAATTTTAAAAGAGCATTTAAAAGGGGAAAATTATAAGTAAAATGGTAAATGGGGTACTAAAAATTTAGGTACTTAGGCGGGTTGGGTAAATAAGCGGGGAGGTACTTAGGAGAGGGATTTTCTTCAGATTACGTGCCTAAAAAATGTTGATTACTTAAGCGGGTAGTACTTAAGCGGGTTTCACTGTACAATGAAATGTGTTCAGCTCAATGAGATAGATTCTTTGCATGGGAGATGCTGAATATCTACATATGTATGCATTACTGAAGTATTATCATCAATTTTTATTCACTGCTTCTGTAGCGTAGTTTTTTATTTATGAATATATGTATGTAAATGACAAATGTGAGTGCAAGAGTTTTATTGCTGCAGAATGACGATAACCCGTACCGACTTGAAGTCAAAGTTTTGGTTGAGTGCTTATACTGGGATCCCCACACGGTTCGACAAATTTAATTTCACGTAAACAATCGGCATGTTTGTCGAACACACCAGTGTTACCAACTCCAAAGGGCCGAAAATCCCATTCTTCTCTGAAAAACGCCTTGTTTATCCCATTTTAAAATTCAAAAATCCCATTTATGAATAATAAGGGTTAAATTCACAGAGCGTAGTTAACCACTGACAAGAGTTTAACTATCGATTTTGTTATTCACAATGCCCAGTTAACAAAAGTTTAAACCAGCATGCAACCACAGTTAAACTCTTGTGAAATTACATTTTTTTTTACAAAATTCAAATCTTAATAGAAAGATTTTGATTTTTAGAATTTGTATATTTTCAAGATATGAACTTCCTTAGCTAACTATGTGAATCTAAATATACTTTCATAGTTGAACTCTTGTGGGCGGTAAAGCTAACCATGATTTAACTAAGCACTGAATTCGGCCCTAAATATTAAGTTTGTAATAGCAATATATATGTTACCGGGTAAACCCAGTCCACCATATTGTTGCGTCCAACTTGTTTCCGCATTGGACGGATATATTAGATCTAGGTAGAACTAGTTTAGCCTAGGAAAAACTAGTTTGTCCTAAGATTGGGTTTGGCCGGTAACATATATGAGGTATTTATAGCAGCCAGCTCCAGTTCGGTTTTCACTTTTCTTGCGTTGCACATGGCATGGCACAGCCGTAATGCGACTATCTCTGGTGTAGTATTTTTGTTATCAAGTTAACAAGGCCTTTCTAAGTATTGAAGGTGAAAATGCAAAAAAATAATTATCCGCAAAGAAAGTAAAATTCATGAAATTTAAAACTGTGGTTAGCTATTACAAAATTACGTTTATGGAAACGTTGTCAGCGTTCAAGAAATGCTTATTGGACGTCCTACCCGTCACAGCAAAATATGTTTTTTTTTTACATAACTCACAAATACGTTAGCTTCCCACTGTTTAAATAAGGTCCTCTTAATAAATACCAATATCAAATCAGTAGTGTTCATTTTACTCACGAGCTATGTGTCCTCATTAGTCTCGTCCCACCCGTCACTAGCTAAAAATGTTTTTTTTTTTCAAACATAATAATGGCATCAAATCGTAAATCGGACCATAACATTTTATTAACTACATTCGAGAAAATCGATATGCACGAAATGTTTTGATATAGTTTGTCTAAAATTGAGAAACGAATCCATCAACTCAGAGAGACGGGTGTCGTCGTTATCTCACCCGTCACTCTTGGGGAAATGAATATTTTCAACTTCGCGAGTATGAGAATGAACATTACTTATTGTGAATGATTAATAAGTAAAAAGAAGAAAAAACAAAAGAACGAGCGAATAAACAAAATGTCATCGAAATTTAAATTGAAATTGAGATGGTCGTGTAAACAGCTATAATTTCAAACCGAAATTGAGAGTTGAAATGGCGTAAGTTAAGCGTATTTTACATTAGTTGTCCATTTCAAATAAGAGTAAGAAAACATTCAAATTACCATCGGTCTTTAGTTTCAAAAAATGAATGGTCGCCGCAAATAACTTTGTAAGCGACAAGATTATAATTTTACAGAAATAAAAAGAAAATGTTTTTAATGGTGCACACACATAAGCTCATTTGATTTGGTGTTCTACTTTTTCGGTACAGGAGTATTCAATAAACTTGCTCTTAAAGTATAAAATATTTATGTAAAATGTACATTGTACATTTATATCGTTAAAACTAAAGAAACTTGTTCTAAGAAAATTGTCGCTTACAACGTCATTCGCGGCGACCATTCAAATGTCTCTGAGGTGACTAGCGATTCATTTATAGACATTTAGGCCGATCTAGCCGAAGCATAGTTCAATTTTCGTTTTAGGAAACCGAATCTTCCTACTTTGGCTCGTTATCTACTTCTATTCAATTCAACTGTAACTTGCTTCTTGTTTCAGTCCACTTGGGGCCTGTGAATCCTGCCTTCTTCATTACTATCGTCTGTGAAGCCTGGACGTTTGTTGTTGTTGTTTTAGCACTAAATCGGCTAGTCTATCAACCGCTGTCGTCAATTTCAAATAGCGGCAGACCCAGGAAACGTGCTGTTTAACGGGATCAGACCAAAAAGGGAAGAGAGAGAGCTAACCTAACCCTAGCCAAACCTGTTATAGTATCCAGACATTAATGAGCTCCAATGACGGAATTCACGGGTCGAGAGTTAGTAAAAGTGGTGTTTGTCTCTCGGTGAATGTTGCTTAAGGCCTATCTGTACAACTTTGGGTTCACTGTTTGTGCGATGTACATCTGGCAGGAAGGTGGAAAACGATACTAGTAAATACAATACATACTCGATACTTTTCGTCCTATACCAAGCAATTTATGTATCGATACTTTTGAACCGAGTACCGAGTAGGTATCGGAAGATAGTACTTGTATCGAAAACCGATTCAGTAACAATTTTATTCCCGGACTTTTATTTTTTGATCCAATTTTTATTGTGAATAGTTAAAAAATTTTAGCAGTTTAATTTCCAACGAATAGAAAGTCCTACAAAGAAATACCCATTATCATCTAATCTAAGTCCACTTTTTGTGAAAACTCATATTTGGCTATAGGAAGGAAGATAAATTAAAAACGCAATGCGTCCGAAAGGATTAACTAACGTGATTTTTTATTTTTTCCCGTTTATATTCAATTTAAGGCAAATTTACTAAGTCCGAAAGAGGCACAGCAAATTTGATAAGCTCACAAAAAATTCTAAATATTTTAATTTGCAACGGAACTTTTTGCAAAATTCTTGAAGGAAATGTTTTGAAAGGTTGTTTTTCTCTCCTGTAAAATTTCTACAAATGGACTTAGCAACTTTTCAGTCTAAGCTGGCCATATGAATGCCTGCACTACATTATAACATTGTCCTCCGAATATTATCAAGATCATTACTTCTTTCAGAAATATACCATCGTTACTCTGCAAAAATGCTGTTGACTAGTGTTATAATACAGATAACTTTTATTAGTTAATTTGGATGAAATAAATTATAATTATTATCTTTGTACAAAATATATAATTATGTATAACAAATAAAATGCGTACATAAAAAGGAAGCAAATTCTGTTAACAAAATTGTGTGGGGATTTTACAAAACTACATATCGGACTTAGCACCTTTTTCTTGTTTTTAAACTTAAAGTTTTTCTTAAAAAGATTAACTACCATTCTTCTAAAATCAAAAACTATCGTTACATAAGTTATTTTGACAAAAATTCATAGACATGTGATAGCGTTTTTTTAAAAACAATTCTTATTTATGTACAAATATCGATATAAGTAGGTATCGATACTTTCAGCCCCATACTTAGTAGGTATCGATACTTTCTTTCGATACTACTTCCAAGTACAGGTATCGTTTTATCCCTAGGTGGATCAGCAGACAGACAACAGACAGCAAACAGCAAGTGCTATTTTGGTGTTTCCTGATAGCAGCCGAATTGCTTGCTGAGCATAAAGATACGTATGTTCCCTGT